AGCATGACTAAGGCTGGGGGGGGGGGTTTCGGACACCTCTGGTGCCACGCGCCGTGCGTGCGTGGTCACTTTTTCGCGTTACGTGCGGGGGCGTTATGGCGGCAGCGTTACATCGAGGGGAGGGGTCTGGGCCAGGCGGTGTGCATCCCTTTCACTGCAAACTGGCAGGATGGGTGGTGCGGCGGGCAGCGTGAACTTGGCTGCGTTGCGGTGAACGGCCGGCGGTGGCGACTGCCATCGCCTACGGCCTTGGCTTAAGTTGCGTTGAGGAGGGGTAGTGGGGTGGGATGGAAGGGGTTGGCCACGCCCAGATTTGAAAATTCTGTTCCTGGCGATCAGCCCGACCGGTCGATCGCCGCGATCTTTCAGCTCAAGCAGGCTGGGCGGCCCTCTTGGAGCGCCTCGTTGCGTCTCCTTGGCCGTGGACTGAAAACGAATGGCGTTGGGGCATAGGGGAAGGGGGGTGGGGGTTGGGGCCAAATTTGAAAAATTTGAGTCACCAGCGATTGGCCCAACAGGCCGATCGCCGTGACTCTGCACTTCCAAGACGCTTGGCACCCTCACTGCAACACTGTGGAGTGCCTCCTTGCCGGCTGACTGGAAGCGAGTGGGGTTGGGGTTTGACGAAGGGGGGCGGTTTAAGGTCAAACTAGTAGCCAACGACCCAACGGCCCGATCGCCGCGACCTTTCGCATTACCAAAATGTCTAGGCATCCTTTGGGTGTGTGCCTGAGAGTGCACCTATGGCACTTGCTCGGAAGAAAGTGATGGTGATGGGTGAAAGGGGGGGAGGGGGGGAGAGGGGGGGGGCCTGGGTGGGTTTTAAGCTGCCAGTTTTTTCTCAAATTACCAACGATTAGCAATTTGGCCATCACTGTTCAAAGTACACACGAATGCTACCCTAAACGGGGTTGCTGCGCCATCTTGAGGGATCGACGGGTCGACAATTTGGGGTGTGGCATTCTTTTCAATAAGGTCGATGCGATTCTGGTGATTAGCAATGGCTTTAGAAAACTTCCAATTTAGTACACACGGCAGCAAAGGTGTGTGCATATACACCACTCGAGCGAGCATGGTTGTGCCTACAATGTGTATTTTATATGTAATATACTTAAAACGTGGAAGTAATTGGGCATGTGTTGCCATACACAGCTAGTTCCCACATATCGCAAACTTGCCAACCAGCATGCATCTACTTCCATTTGTATGCATTGGGGTGGGACGTCCCACCTCCTTGAGGGGGATGAAATGTTATGCACAGGCCTAATATGGGGGACGCCCTGCCATGGTCTCCGAGTGTGGGGGATGCCTTGCCCAGGATATAGTAACAACACCCAAACCGGAACTTATTGATAATGAAAACCGACACACATGGCAACATCTCGAGGTCATCTGACGGATGTTGTCGACCTCCTGCTCGCTCCTCCGGTGGCTGGCACAACTGAGGACAGTCCAAAAACGGACACACAGTTCCCACAACAAACCTGACAGGCTGCAAACTCAGGGTGCACGTCAGGGCTGGACACGACATCCTTTGCCCTTTCCAACATGACACTGCAGATCGCCATGCAATCAGAGTGTATATGTCGACTCAACGGTCAACGATAGCAAGGCAGCGAGCTGTGCTATCTTTGGAGACGAGGCCAGAAACTCACAGAAAACAACTTCTTATAGACCGCAGCCCAGGCACAACGATTGCCTGCAGTTGCCTTGGTCCATAGCAACAACGTTCTAGCCGGCCACCACACAGCACGGCCACCGTTCTCATACCCTATCGCATCAAGCAATACAACCTTTCATTCTAGTATATTAGACCCTTTTTCTATCCCACTTCAAGCTGAATCAGCCTTACATGAGTGCATGGTCATCTACAATGTCCCCTCACCGGCAAAACAATCGACCTTTCAAACACTCACCATATGCCATTGTAATTCACAACCCTTTCAAAAGGGCACTGACAGCCCTTGACATCCCCTTCACTTGTTCCTCACATAACCCCTTGCTAACTCGTTATGTCTTGTCGCCGATGGTCTCAACTTGATTAGTATTACCCCCAAAGTGCACAGCACCCCCATCTTCTAGTATTGCTCATTGATAGAACTATACTTCACCCAGAATTCCCCTTTGCCAGTCGTATTGCTTCACATCAGCTATTGTCGTATGCAGTGGGAGTCACCTCAGTACGTTATATGACACGTAAATATGTCCAATCCTAGTCAGCAATATTTGAGACTCCCTGACGCCAAACTTGTATACGCCAGCACTCGTTCACGTCCAACTCAGCCCGTCAGGATGCTTACTCAGCCCTTGTGGATAGTCAGCACGCCTCCTGATCCATGGGTACCATTGCTTGGCCAGCCTCGCTACCCTAGTCGGCAGGCGGGGGCCTGGCGTCGTCGACCTCTGGCTCTTCCCCACCGGTCAGCCAGTCCCTTGCACAGATTGAGGATCTTTCTTTGCCTATCCACATGTCGACCTCCTTGGCTCGTTTCTGATGCAACCTCCTTGCCTCTTGGAGTTCTTCAAAGTCTTCTTTGATTTCAAGATCGTTGCGCACCTCTTCCAATAGGTTGACGAGGTCAGAGACCTCTTGCAGCTGTGTGTTTTCAGCTTCCCTCTCTCTAATCGCCGAGCCACGGCGCATCTTGAAGTGGTTAGCTGCCACCTTGTCTTCAAGGTTTCTCTTCTTCTAGCGTATCAAAACAAGTGCCCTTTGCACCACCGACTAATTCTCAGTCGCTGCTTGGTGTTTGAGATTCCTTAGCCCAATCTCGAAGCTATTGGCCACACCTTCGAGTGTCTCCATGGCAATTCTGCATGTCTGTTTAGCTTCTTCCTCAAAAGCTTCATGTGACACCCCTTCAAGAACTTCGACCTTGTCCATAAGACTCTCTTTGAACACAGTTGCTGCTCGTTGTATGGACTCTTCACGGGCCATGGTTCTTTCCCACTCTTCCGCCAGAGAATTCCACATATGGAAGGCTTCAACCCACACCGGGCCATAAATTCTGCGACCCTGTGGGACATACACATATTCTTCCCTGCCAAGGAGGTGCTTGCGCCTTGCTTTCATGTTCTCAAGTTGGGAAACCTTCTCCTCGATATCCGATTGCGAGGGAACACCCAGCGCCTTGCGCCTTGCACGGATTCTCTCCACCTCCACCTAAATGGGTCTCCTTCAGCCGGCATATTTCCCTTCGACTCACTTTGGACGTTCGCACAGGTCAACGCACGTCTTCCTTGTGCAAGGTTGGCTTTGTACATCCCCTATTTCATGTGACTGTACCCACTTGTAATGCTTCTGATGTGAAAAATCACCTACTATAATCTTTATGATAGATAGAGGCAAATGCACTGCCTCCCTTTACCCCTTGGACACTTCTTATAGCCTTTTCCCTTTGGTCTCATCGCTTCCAGTAGTCCCAACAATGCTCTATATCTCAAGGACATTTTGTCACTGCCCAAAACCCCCAGATCCTTAAAATCCAGTTCCTTTCCCTCTTTGTATAATATTTTTTTATTTATTGACAATAGAAAGAATGGAAAAAGCATTCCATTCAATTCCTTATGCTCCCCTGAGCAGTTACATATCTTTACCAACCAAAACTGATGAGTTTTGGGGGAGTTAGGCTCTTGGGATTGTGCACTACAATTGCACAAGCTTCGGAGCTCCTTCACAACCTCCTAGAGGTGGCCACTCAAAGATGCCATCCGGTCCGTTAAGTCCGGTTCGTTAATTTTTATCAGCTGTCCGTTAAATTTCGTTAAAGAAAAAGGGAGAAAAATTCAGAAAATACGAAAAAAATCAAAAAAAATCAAAAAAAAACCCAAAAAATCACAACAACTACGGCTAGTTGAAAATCTAGTATGCATAGGTTGAAATAAAATACAAACATACTCTCTAATAGCGAATTCCATAAATTATAAGTATGACTAAAACCCAAGAATCCTCAAAAAATCCAAAAATCCGTTAATTTTTGGTTAATTTTTGTTTTTTTTGTTACTTTCCGTGAATTAACGGAAAATTAGCGGAAATTAACCTCTGTCCGCTATTAACGGATCCGGGTGACCACCTCTATCATATACAGGGTGGGATAATATGGGTTACCGGACTCCAAAACCAAATATTGTGCCGTGGCCACGGGCCCGTATGCACGCCCGGTAAAGAACAACATGGGGAGGCAAAGGGGGTTGCTTAGGCATGTGTTACACTGAAAGGAACCACAACAAAGACAACCATTCATTATGTTGCTAGATTATATAATAATTGCAAACTATAATTGTACATAATTAATGGTGGGCTCATAAATGACTAAGATGGAACTACCTAGCCACCCCATGGGCCAGGATACGGGTAGACCTACCAAATCTCAATCCCTCCCCAAGGTTTTGCTTCAAAACAACAAAATGATATGACTTATTTAAATGGTCACAACAAAGGGCGCTAATTGATGGCCCTTGGGAATTGCGTACTTTGACTGGCCCAAGGTATTAGAGGGGCCAAAAACCCGTTTGAATTCAACTGCGACTGATTTGAACCATCAGCGTAGCCTACCCAACGTCGTCCTTGGTGGAAGCGTGTTAACAAGATAGTTAATTGTATTTCTAGGGTGCTCCAAGTCATGTTGCCCGCTTATGATACTATACAATAATAAACCCTTCTGCATAATAACGCAACGCTTGGCCTTTCTGTGCGGGGCAACGTAAAAATACAGAAATAACGCTCTGAAAAGCAGAATGCGGAGCAAAAAGCGTAACGGTGAAATTTTCTGGTGGGGAAGGGTTGAAAATTTAACAGTATAAGACCCCAGTGCCCTTGGTATCATATGGTTGACGCGATCCAGGCGGTTGGCAAAGTGGAGACTTACGCGCAGGAACGTTGAACCGCGGCGTCCCACGAATCCGTCTGGCGCATCCCTGTGGAGCATTCCACAGCCAGCGAGGCGGCTACACCCCAGGAGGCAGCTCCTGAGCGCCAGGCCCCCTCTCAGAACCGCGCCATGCCTCCCAAGAGGCGCTCGGGCCGAGGTGGCGACCTGGACACGCAGGATGCCAAGAAGACCAGGAAGGGCCCCTCGGCGGGGGACGCGTGCCCCGACTTCGAGCTGGAGACGGACGCGTCGACATCGAACGCGAAAAAGACGCTGTCGCTCAAGGTGACGGCCCGGCCAGTGCTCCATGGGTGAAAGGAGCCCCAAAGGGCCGTTCGCGACGGAGATCAACTCTGGTGCGTCAGCAGCATTGGCGCTGTGGCCGGCGTAGTTTTAATCTCGCAATCCACCGCACAGCCTCTGATACGGAGGCAATGTCATGCGGAGGACGGAGCCCGCGAAGTCGTGAGGTTGGGCCCTGACAGGGCTGCCTGTCGACGGGAACGGTGCCAGTGCTGACGTGTCGGTGCGAGTTGAGCTTTCGGATCTGGAGTGTCAAGCTACATGATCTGGTCCACCGCCCTGGCAGTGGGACCGCCACACAGGGCAGCAAGACGGGCTCAGACACCAAACCCGTACGTCCGCTGGCAATACGCGACGCCTGGCCACTGTTCTGCCTTCCGCTGACTTGATTATCTTGCGCCAGAGGAAATGTAAGCAAGTGCAGCAAGTAGGCCTTCGCGCCGCCGTTGGCTCACAAGCTCTCCACAGGGCGCTTTTTTGTCCAGAATCGCAGACGGTTTTTTGCCAGACTTTTTTGTCCAGAAGCACAGGCGTTCAGGCCCTGTTGTGCCTGGCACAGCCAAACATGGAGTCTCAAGCCCTTTTCAGTTCAAGTTCGAGTTGGAAGACAACCTACCTTCGCCCCAATTGCATTGTATCGCATTAATGCCTCCCTTGCTCGTGAAATACTCTCATAAACATCCATTAATTCCATAAGACAGCCTGTAGGTCCACTGTTGTTGAACAGATTGATAGACCTGCTCTGTCATTTCAGGGTACTTGACGCTCTGGCGGGACGAAGTAGAGCTGTTTACTTTTGTTCATAGCTGCATGCATTGTTTGAAATTGCTCTTGACTTTGTTGGCATGAGGTGTGTACAATTTGACCGCATCTTGTGGAGTACTAGTTTGGGGCTGCAAGACAGTGGAGGTGCAGCACAACATAGCTAGCTGCACAGTGGTCTCTGGGCTTTAGCCAAAACCTGGAAGCCATGACTCTGGGCAAGCAGTTGCATGACCTTTTTTGAAGTGTGCTATGCCCTTCAACAGCAAGCCTGTGTTAGGAACATGGCCCTTTCACACATGGTCCTTCAAAATTGATGGCAGCCATGGCATTGCTGTCCTGTGTTGCAGGAACTTGTAGCAGACTCTGGTGTGGTCATTTTCTTCTACCCCAAGGCCAACACTGGTGGCTGCACAACACAAGCCTGCGGGTTCAACGACAATTATGATAAACTGATTGCTGCAGGCTACAAGGTGTGTGGAATGAGTGCAGACAAGCCACCATCACAGGCGAAATGGAAGGCAAAGCACAATTTCAAGTATCCTCTCCTGTCAGATACAACCTTTGAGGTGAGTTTGATACCTGATAGCTTGCTCAGCACTTGTGATGGGAACCACAGTATATGCTGTCAGTAGCTGCACACACAAACAGGACCAACAAGAGTAGACAATATCAGTTCTATGAGATGTCTATACACATCCTGTGCTGCCGAGTAGCGCACAGTGCAGGAGTGATTACTCAGGAGGGGCAGGACTCCACAAGACAGCCAAACGTGGCACTATCAATCCCAGAGTTTGAACTATGGGTGCCAAAATGTCCCAGACCATGAATTATGGTTTCTTGTTGCCAGTATCTCATCATTATCAGGAATAGAGAACTCAGAGGCGTCACCGACGTGACATCTGTCTCATGCAGATGTGCAGGATCTGCAAGTGTACACAGCAGTGCGATGATTACCAGGCATGTCAAACAACCTTGACCAGAATGAGACTGGCTCCATGCAATTCTCCACCCAATGGATAGCACAAATTGGGCTCAGATCATCATGGAACGATGGAAAAGATGTGTTGCCGTACACCCAGCATTGTCCCAACCAGCCCAACAAGGGTGTTGCACAACATCCATTGTGTGGTTTGTGTGTGAACAGAAGTGTCTGATAGCATTTCATGTCCTTCTTTTGTTACATGTGTGAATTCTGGTTATGCCCTGGCCCTTCCCCTTGATTCCTGCTTTGCATAAGCGATGGCACTTGGACGGTGGAGTCTACAATGTTTGTCCAGTGACAATGGTGTCGGCCCATATCTCTGTTTGTTGGCCACTTCATATCTGAACACAAACAGTTTAGTGACGCTGGACGTTCGTTTAGAGCACAACCTTCTGCGCTGCTGCCAAAATATAATGCTGGGCCGACTATAGCCTTTACGCAGTGATAGAGGGAGAAGGTGTTGTTCGGCACAAGATGGGCTTATTTTTTTTATTGTCGCTATTGTTCCTGAAGAATAGCACGATACCTGTTTGAGTGTCAATGTAGAAATCAACACTAATCTTTGATTGGTTGATAATTCTTGTACTGTCCCTGTGGCCATGCGGTATTTCAATGGTCTCCCGGCCCAATATGCTCTCAGAGGCAGAAAATGCATTTTGGCATGCAACCGTTTTTATCTCAAATTGATCAGGTTTAGGCAACATAGCAAATATGCCTGTCAATTGGTACTGGTAACAGGGACAGCAACCCCTTGTATTGTTGGTTTGTGGTACATTGTTTACTCAATCTGACTTTTCAGGTGATGGCAAGCCTTGGGGTCACCAAGGGCGACAAGAGGATCAATAGATCCCACATAATTGTGGAGAAAGGAGGGAAGATCAAGGAAACAAAGATTGGAATATCGCCAAAGAACAGTGTGCTGGAGGCAGTGGCTGCCTTGTGCCCTGAGCGCAATGGCAAGGATGCAAATGCAAAGGACGATGTTCAGAAGACGCAGCTGTGAAACTGCAAGATGCTGATGTACTGAAAGAAGTGAATGCTGCTGGCGAGTGATGCATTAGCACAGCTTCACTGCACACGCATGATGTGCTTTTCTTTGCTTTCGGAGTTTTGTTAAGTGGCTTGGATTCCACTGCCATCTGAACATTGTGTTTCTCTGATCAAAACATTTGTTGGACTGGGCAGCAGTGCCTTCGAGTATGGGGGAAATGATTTTGTGGCTGCTTTGTCATAATCTCTGGTTGTATTCTATTTTTTTTCAGTGCATTTTGCAGTTGGCGTTTTGCACCATTCTATGCTCTATGTTGTCTGCAGTATTCTCTGCAAAACGAGATGAGCCAAATACACATGCCCTTGGCCTATCGTGGGGTTTTGTTTTGTTCGAACTACAGTATCCTTACCCACTGTCCACAGCAATCTGCACTTGGGATATGGCGATGTGCGTCAAGAAGTAGATTCCAACTTGAGGCTGTGGTTAACAGCCAGGGCTCAGCACAGCCCATGTGCGGAATTTTGTGTAGCTTTTGTGCTGCTTTGACTAGCAGCCTGTCAAATGGAGCTTTGCCCTTTTCAGGGCATTTCATGAAGATCGATTTCATGCCTTTTTGTCAGGGCTCCTTTGCAGGGGTGCAGTTACTGCATTAGAACCCTGTAGATGAATGGTCTCGTGGCGAGATGGTATTAACACACCATATGGTCTGCAAAGGATAAAGCCAGGGCAAGAAGCAGTGACAACAAAGTGTTCATTGCACCATCATGATAACAAGGCCCTTCAGGAACTTTGCATCAAGTGCATTCAGGATGATGCACCCCCACAGGACAGCACGTTGTGGAAATTGGCTTCAGCATCGTGCTTTTGCAAACAGAGGCCAGAATGCCTGTTGTCCAGAATTCGGTGATTGCGCTGTTTGACAATGCAGCACATCACAACAGCTCCTTAACTTCAGCTTCTGCAGCCAGAGTCATTTCAAACCAATGATACACACAACCAAAATGCTTCACCTTTCACTTGTAGAGAACCAAAACAAAGGAAAGCAAGTTTCAGCAACGGATGCTGACAACCAATCTGAAGAGTGGGTGTAAGTGGCACTGCCTTTTCAGATTCCCAACCCCTTCACAGTGTTGCTAACGCTCTCCTCATCGCCACCATCGTGGTTCCCATTGCCTCCACAGACTTGCCTCCACAGCTGCTTCAAAGCATCCCATTATGTAAACTCCCGCAATTGTTGAAATGCTGTCTGTGCACCTTGTTTCAAGTCTTGCTTGAATTTTTACGTGCCTTCTGTACAACACATCGGTATTCCCTCATGAAAATGCTGTTGCGTCACACTGTCAGGCAATGTTGCTGAATCATTCTGACATCAGCATGGGCATTGACTCTAGAGTGTGGGTCGGTGGGTGTGGGTGAGTGGGTGGGGATTTTGGAGTGGGGGGTGGGGTGGGGGTGGGGTGGGGGTGGGGGATTTGTTACTTGCCAGTGGAAAGCAGGTCATAGACAAGCCATCTTTTCTGCAACAAATGTGTGTGAGACTGCCATACCATGCCTGCAAAGGACGGTTTAGAATCTCCCAGTGCAAGAAGAGCACGCGACCCGGGCAACACGAACAGCAATAAAACATGCACCCAGGCGTCCCCGTAACAACAGATGCGAATGTTGGGAACGCCAGATGCAATACAAGGCCTCCAAGGGCCTGCCCACCGCACCCAGCTCTGGACCACACCAAAAAAAGGTCAGTCTGTTGATGAACTGTTCACACCCACCAGACCCAAAACTCCCAGCCAACGTCCCCTGAAAAGAAACAAGTCACCTGGAATCCCCGGGCGAAGGTGCAAGAGCACATTGCACTGCACCGTGAGAAGCAACACGGAAAAAAATCTACCGAACCGAACCCACACAGCCGTCGATGATGCAACCAGCCCAAGCCCAGCTGACCGCCCAAACATGTTGACCAACTCTTAGCCAACAGTGTGACGCTTTGGTGACAGACTCTGACTCAATTTTGCGGTGTTTCACCCATTCTTCCTCCCCGATATCGGTCGTGCGTCACACATTGAGCGAAGCAACAACATGAACAAGGGCGAATTGGAGGCCAGGCTCACACGTGTGTTGTTTGCAAAACCACATTCATGGCGACCTGCCCCCAGCGCGAAAATTTCGTTGCTCACCCGGCCACCGTGCAGGGGGGCAACCTCGGTTACACAATTGACCCCCACGCGCAGGCGCCCACGGTCTGCCAAGGCCCACTTCTGTACAGTACCGCCGAATTTCCCAATCCCGGCTCCCATTCCCATGGCCAAGTTACGCCGCCATTCTCCCACCTGTCTTTCAGTGACAGCCTCACTCTGCTCATCCCAATTCAAAGGTGGTGCGTGAGGGCTGGTGTAACAAAGTGAGAAGCCGAGCCCGCCCGGGAGCCACAGGGCATCGTACCCGCCTGGCGTCGGCGGGCGCGCCCGCGGAGGCGGAGCGAGGCAGGGTGGCTCCTCTGGGCACGCGCGGCCACCTCCGGCGGCGCTGAGACAGACGCCCTGGGGCCGCGGCGGGGGAGGCGGCGACTTACCCAAGGGACATCCCCCCTGATCCGGCCACCAGCATCGAGCGGAACGCCCCACGGGGCTGAAAGGTAAGGCCCGCGCGCCGGCTGGCTTGTCCGCTTGGGCGCCGGCCGCGACATTGGGAGTGAGCGAACGAGTGAGCGGAAGCATCCAGACCTCCCGGGCGCCACACATTCTCCAGGGGGTTTGGGCGGGCTTGCTGCGGCCTGGCCCGGGCTGCGATGAGGAGTGCGCGGCCCCTGACTGCCGCCGTCGCCCCGCGCCCTCACCCGCGGACGGGATGGCGCCCGTTGCGCGCCAGCCACGGATGTCACGGGACGCGGCCTGCCGCGCCGCGGTGCCCGGGTGGCCCCCCCCTTCACCGCAGCCGTCGCGGTTCCATTCACCGGGTTCCGGACCGGATGGGCGGAGCCTCGGGGGCTGCGGCGCCGGAACGCCCCCAACCCCGTTTCCTTGCGCCTGATTGCCCAGTTTTCACCTTGGCAACTGGCCTGCGTGTTTGACCTCGAAACTTGCGACGTTGGGTGGGTGCAGGCAAACCAGCCGTTGGTGTATTTGTCACGACTGCGTGCCGGGGTGGCTGCGACCTCGTAGGCCGCTCATCTGGCCGCTGCGTCGCCCCTTTGAGAGTCGCCCGGGCCTCCATAGCCCGCAGGGCGCGTGCGCGACGCTTCGCCAGTGTGTCGGCGCCGTCACGTCGGCTGACAACATTGCGGCGTGCCGTTTGTCAGGTTTTCTGGCGAAGGGAGTGCTCGCAGGCGCCGCGGCCATGTTGAATGTGGAAGCGCCCCCGGCGTCCGCCAGCCGCTCGCCGTACACGCCGCACCGCATGGTCGACGCGCTGCCGGGCAGCAGCCCGCACGAAGGGAAAGGCGCAAGGCAAATGAAGGAAGAAGATGACCAGCAGGTGGGTTGAAGTCGGTTGGCAGGTTTTGCCCCTTTCAGATGTTGTCTGCCCAGTGCTAATTATTTGCCGGGCACAGGTGCCGGTAGTTGGGGGCGGGGCGCCGCGTAGCCCATGCCGGGAGCCCCCGTGCAGCCGACTTGGGCACAATTTTCCCAAGAGGCGAGCCAAGCGCTGCGCGCCCCCCCCCCGTGCATTGTGTTCTTCTGCATCTGCAACTGCTCTGTGACTCTTTCTCACCGCGCCTTGCTGTGTCCACAGGCCTTGTTCGACGGCAGTCAGATCGGGAAGAAGCTGAGCTCCAGGTATCGCGGAGTGTGCTGGAACAAGAAGAATAGGAGGTGGCAGGCGGCCATCAACAGCTCCGGCAAGTATTTGTACCTGGGGTCCTACGTGTCGGAAGAGGAGGCCGCCAGGGCATTTGACAGGGCGGCGGTGCGTATTCGCGGAAGGAAGGCAAGGATCAACTTCAAGTGAGTACTCCCAAGGACGGTCCATCGAACTGTGAGTTGCGTGCAGCCGTTTGCACTGGAGTTGCTGCTCTGATGCGTTCGTGGTCGAGGCTGACTGGGGCCGCTTGCAGGTTCGAAGATTATGCAGACGAGGACCTGGAGTCGTGGCACTCTGACCTGCACTCGAAGGACCCGAAGGACAACCGCACGAAGGCCAGCAAGACGCCAGTCCCTCGGAAGATGCCTTCAGGCAGCATGCTGTCTGAACTCGGCATCCCGGGCGTGTCTGTCCTGAGTGGGGTGCCCAACAGCGACTTTGGGTTTGGCGGCGGCGTGGTGGAGCGGGCTGAGAGGCGGTTCCACGATGGGCGCATAGTGGGTGGCGCATCCCTGATATCCACCCCAATGGAAAAGCAGGGTAGTGGCCTGATGTTCAGCGACGTTCAGGCGGGCCAGGGCGGCAATGAGCAGGTGTGGGGCCCCGTTGTGGAGGTTCCTCAACCAGGAGACCATGGCCAGGTGAGTATCTGAAACAACAGCACCGCTTGTTCTGTTGAGAATATTCACAATGCTGGTAATCGAGCCGACGTGCCATGTGCTTCTGCCGGCTGATGTGCTGGAATATGTTTCCTTCCTTCATCTCATAGCAGTTTGATGTCTACAGGTCGTGTTGGCACATGCTCCCAAGAATGAGGAAGCAGGTGCGGCCAACTTGTATATTGGAAACGACCAGGCAGGGGTCAGCCAGACAGTTTTGATGGAGCTTGCAAACCAGCAGCCAGTGCTCCTTTTGCCCAACTCGCAGCACTCCAATCAATCTGCACAGCCGAATGCAGCTGGTGAGGCATCTACGCCATCTGGAGGTTTCGGAAGCACTTTTTCTGCAGGTGCTGCATCGGGACAAGGGGCTGGCGAGCATCAGCTTCCTTCAGCAGATGCGAATGAGCGAACACCCCTGCCACCAGATTCACAGATATTGAAGATCGTGCCCTGCAACTATGGGGTCTTTGGAGTGATGTATGCACGACCCGGCCACAGTGGGATGGGGGCAGCAGTGTGGGATGGCCGAGCCATCAACGACATGGGCATGTTCAGTACGAAGGCCGATGCAGAGCGGGCTTGCACAGCTGGGACAGAAATCGTTGTGAGGTTTCACAGCAGTGGCATGAACCCTCATGTCAGTAACAGCAGCGATGGACCTTACATTATAGCATCTCTGGCTGAGAACGAAGGCCTGGCTGCTGCTGCAAGGGAGGCTGCAGCCAAAGGCCAAGTGCAGTTGGTTGGTGATGACATGGGCGAAAATAGCCAACGAGATGGGCCAGCTGCAGCCAGTGGTGGAGATGTCCAGGCCTGTGTGCCTGGCCTGAACAACTCTCAACAGAACCTGCTGAGGCTGTTGAGCATTGGGTCGGAGGACCTCAATAAGTACCTCACCACAGTGCCATCAACCAGCCACGATGCCTCCTTGTCAGGTGTTATTCCAGAGCACAACAGGAGTGTCACTGCCATCGCAGAGATGATCAAGCAGGACAATGGCAACCTGGGGTCTTTGCTGCATTGGGACAGCTGGAACAGCTCAATCCTGGGCCTGCTCTCAAAGAGCCACAGCCCAAGCCCCGGGGCACCTGTGGAGAAACATGGTGGCGAGGACAAGGAACAAGCCCCTCAGAACAAGGAAAACGGTGCTGCTTTGGATGCAGAGTCTTCACGCCCCATGTCAGTGGCAGGTACAGAGGCCACGACCTTCAGCGCAACAGCAATCCCAAGCTGGCTGAAGGATATTGGCAGTCTTGCCGAGTTGGGGTCAATAACTTTCCAGGGGAGTGGCAATTTGAGTAGCCTCGTTCGTGCAAATGAAGACTGCTACATGCTGCAGCAGCAAGGGAGTGGGTTCGGGAGCGAAGTGGTAAGTGTGCGCACCACAGTGGTACTTTGTGCTGTACATTGTGGGTTTCTTGTAGATTGTCACTGTCTGCAGCAATTATGGTGCATGGGCCTCTGCCCCAGTCATGCTCATCTGCCAGCTGCCACTGCAGGTGAAGCACAACAGATTAATTTCAGACGTTTGGCAATGTTGGCTTCCATTTGTAAGGTCGAGGCTCAACACTGCACGGAATCTTGATTCAACCAGCGAAATTTCTTTGATTCTACAGGGTGAAGCTGGAGTGCCTGAAGCCACTCCAGAAGCCTCAGTTGCTGAGGTGCCTCATGCAGCACCACCAAGGTCAGGCTCACTGGAGAAGCACAAGGATGACAATCCATTTTCTTCCGCATGGCGCCACAATGTCAGCAACGTTAGCAGCGACTACGACGAGGTCGTTGACTGGTTTGTCTCTCGTCCACAGCGCGATGAGAACAAGAAGTCCAAGTCAGATGGCCCTCGTATCAAATCGGAGGAAGGAAGTAAGTGTTGCTGATTCTTTGGGGAGCGGTTTCCTTGCCGACTATGCTTCAGACTTTTTTCTGGTCCTTTTGATATTGAGCTCGATGTGCTGTAGTTGTGGCAGTTTGCTGTCAGCGAGTCCGTGTTCGCCATGACATGTTTGTTTACCTACCCGTGCTGTTACATTGGTGCCGCTGATATTTCACTCTGGAATAGACAATGAACAGAGAGACGCATGCGCGTGCTCCTGTGCCGTCGGGTATGCACGGCTAGTTGCTGGAGAAAACTTTCTGACTCAGAAGGTTGTGTTTTGCTCCAGCTGCCACTACCAGGGATGCACGCCAGTTGGCTGGGCATGTTTCACAGCCGTCTGTGACAAGAACATCGTCCCTGGGTGACGCGGCAGTCGAAGGATTGGGCCTGCACGGTGGCACGAAGAGGAAAGGTCTGGAAGGCTGTGAAGATCTGATAACCACAAAGAGGCCCAGGTCGCCATGATGCAGTTGAGTGTATAGGTCGAAGTGGAAGTTGCCGTAGATGTAGATATTGTTCTATTTGGCGAGTTTGTCGCATGAGCTCATCCATCAGAAAGAATGCTGGTTTAGGACTCCTGGCATGCACTTTCTGGGTATGCAAGTCGTGCTACAAGGGGGTGGGCGTGTGCTCTCCATGCATAGTTGTAAGATTAGAATACTCTTTGTTGCTGAGCAGCAGACGTGGCAAAGCGTGCAGTGGAGCTGAGCTGAAGCCCTCACGTTGGCGGAAGGAGGGCGCCCATCTGCAGCGCTTGGTGCTGGAACGAAAGCCACTGATGCTGCTGTCAAGTTTTTTGAATGATGCTCAAGTGGTGTACGTCCTTTTTGTGGGAGCTGGCGAGAGCAATCTTGGACGCTCTTCCCAGGCAGGATGTTGACGTGCGGAATGCAGGAGGGCGGTTGGCTCACCGAGCCAAGGGGCGCACTATGTGCAGATAAATGATGGGACGGAGGTGTGGATGAGTGGGTTCGAGGAAATGCATGTCCGTTCTATTTAAATACGACTATTGTCTGCACCTCCCACAGGCGCAGTCCCTTTGGATTCAGACCCTCGGTAGACTTCCCAAGTGTTTTGGGATTGATGCTGGCAGACAGTCTCGGAACTGATGACGGGTGACAATGTTGCCATGATTTGTCCATGCTCAATGCCAGCTTGACCACGAAGTGCAATTGTATGCACACCCAAGGCTCCTAAAGGCGCGGCAATCTGCGCAGCCACACAAGGGGGGCCGGGCAACAATTGGGGCTACAAGTCTGCACGGTGAATAAAGCTGACGGCCGTGACGGCATTCGTGCAGAAAAGAAAAGCTGCCAAGGTTGGCATAGATTACGAGCCAGCTCACCCCGTAGCCGCTCGAGACCGTCATTCAATCGCTGCGAGTCCCAGCCGAAGTCGTCTGACTTAAGCCGGGCACCCCCGTGTGCTGTCTTGCACTTCGCTTCAAAAGTCGTCACTGTTTGCATACACTTCAGAACATTTTCTTTCTGGTCGGGTCACCAGCTTGTCTGATTAAGAATTTGTGAAGAATGCTGGCGGGTGGTAGCCAAGATAAAAGGAACTGGAGGAAGTGGCGCGCCTAGTGAGTCTTGAACGGACAGCCAAAACCGCACGACCTTTTGGGTTTGCATGATGTGACTGTTTGCCTGGCTCGCGCACATAAATGAGCAAAATGCATCAGCGCAAATGCAGTGACAACACCCAGGCACGGCAAATTCCGTGACAAGTTCACTCTACACGTGTGTTGGTACAGCCCTGCAGCTCAGGGCGACATGCAACTTGTGCGGGACGGAGTACCTGGAACATTGGAGCCTTCTCGACCATGCAATAGTGCACTCAAGGTTGTGCGAAAGAGCTGGGCACATCACAGCGTTCGTCACGCTGTTAGGGCTGGGTGGTTTGGAGCAAGGCGAGATAGAGGACAGCCTCGGGTTTCCCGTAACAAACGTTACACACAGACACAAGTGAAATGGGTCGGTTTGGGCAAGATAGAGGACGGCCGTGAGTTTCCTTCAACAAGACATGCTGGTGTTCAGCACTCTGGGTCTGGTCACGAGGCAAAGTGACGATCTGTGGGTCACGGAGTGGGCGTGGTACAGCGATTGTGCACGACGCAAAGGCCCATGCATCGATTCATTGTGTGGGCAGGGTAGAAGCAGCCTTTCGCTCTACCAGTGGCTTCGCCCGCGACTGCGGAGTTGAAAGGCTGAGTGCGGATTTGGCGGCAGCAGTACTTTGGCCGTTCATGCGGGGCCCAATCCACCCCGGCTCAAATCCCGCACTCCATCACGCCTCGTCGCAGATGCGCCCCGCCGACGTCCCCTGCAGGCCAATGGCGCTTGCGCAGCGCGCCCTTGCCAACGCGCCCGCGTCCTACGCCAGCTCACGGCCCCGCGCGGCAGGTGCGCCTCCAGTGCCGAGGCCAATGGGTGGAGAGCTACGCCAATTGGCCGCAATGCCGCTGACGCCCAATCCCGATCGGGCTTGCATGCCCCTGCGGATGCCTGGATGGTGACGCCGCGCGTGGATTTGCCTGTGCCAGGTCCGGGACGGGACGCGTTGGGATGCCTCCGCCTACCTGCGGTGCCCTCGCGGCGCGCTTCGCGCGGGCGGAGGGTGGCATGCCAGGCAGCCAGCAATGAAGTCGATGAGATGGCCAAGGCGGAGAGGCGGTGGGAAAGCCAGGTGAGGGCGCATGGCCGGCAGGACCGCGTCGAGCCTTCGTCTCGGCGGCGTTCGAGCAGATGCATGGCTTGAGGGTTGTTCTTGGCGACGGCGCAGGTGAGAGAAGGCAAGGTGCGCAACGTCACCTGCAAGGGCGCGGGGAAACTGTTGGCGCAGGTGAGCGACGATCGAGCCTTTGTTGAGGCCAGCTGCTCGTGGATTTCCGAAAACTTGGGGGACCATTGGTTTTGAATGTCTCGTTTGGGAACACGCAGGACGAAGGCTGGGTCCTTTTGGACGTCCGACCGCCAAAAGAAGTCAAGCAGGTGGGTCGCATTTGGCCCTGATGACCAAGTGCGGGTGGCCCTCGCCACGGGTCAGACGAACCGCAGTTGGGGTGCGAAGCGTGCGGTCATGTAGCAGTTCATTCTGCCATTTAAGCTATGCTGCTGCAGTGGCAACGAATGGCGTTGTCAGGTACCCAGCGCACCATTGTCGGCATCAACTTCTCGGCCCGGCCGACGAATTGCGCGTGGCTGAGAGGTGGCTGTGTCGACTGGGCAGGCCAGCGTGAAAGGAGCAGTGGCCGTGCCGCTATTTGTACCCGACAAGGAAACGTCACTCCCAAGTTTAATGAAGCAGATGTCTGCTTTCGGCATGGGTGGATGGTGGTTGGGCACCACGCACATGGTGCCCAATGAAGGGTTCATGTCAGAGGTGCGGGCAAAAATACCAAAGAACAGCAAGGTCATTGTCGCATGTCAGAAGGGGTTGAGGTAGGTGCCACACAGGTGGCTGTGGTCAAATCTGCACTGCTCTGTACAACAGTAGTCCAGTGGAGCTTGAACTTTGCTACAACGACAATCGAGAATCTTGCAGTGGATATTTGGATGGGATCACCAGTGTTGGATACTTTGACTTAATTTAATGATTTCGCTTGCCTTTCTGCTAGTTGCTGGTATATGATGTGGACAGGCTCTGTGGTTTGTGACTACTTCTATTTATCAGTGCACGATGTGTACAACAAGCGATTTTTGTGTGTGAGAGATCCATCCACACTTTGGAGGAAGCTTTGGAAGAAGCTTTGGAGGAAGCAATGTGGTATTCAAATTGTGTCCTCCCACCACAGTTAAATGCAAGGGCACCGTTTTGTCGATACGATCCACGCCATCAAAGCAGAACTCCACATCAACTGTTTGGTGCAGGGAGCGGTGTCCAGTGTTAGAGCTGTCCTCTTTGAAGAAAAATTGACAAGGGCAGTTACTATCCAGTATGAATCCAGTAAGAATGTGGAACAAAAGCATTGAGACTCTCACTATCTGAAACACATGCAGTGTGCATTTGAGCAAGCCCAAATGTCAAACCCAGGTGTTCTAGACGTTTGTAGAGGTGTCTTTCTGGCATTGTTGGTAAGCGTGGACAGGGGACAGAGGTGGGCAGAAGTGTCCCTGTCTGTTGTGCCATACCTGTGCTTAACCAGTGTGGCTGTGCAGGTCGCTTGCAGCATGCGAACAGATGGCTCTTGCTGGTTACACCACCCTTGCCTGGATAAATGGTGGCTTTGACACAGCCAAGAAAGGAGACCTGCCCATGGATGGGGATAAGGACATCCGGTATGCAGGCATTGGTGGCGTCTCTGCCCTTCTGGGCTGGACAGAGGTGCAGCAGCAGGACAGAGAAGAGGCCGGTGATCGCCTAGGAAACATCATTAAAGTGGTGGGTGCAGAATGCATACATGGGCTACTGTGCGTCAACACAGTGTTGCTGCTGATTTGGCGCGTCCTTTCTGCTGCAATCTTTGAATCTGAAACAGCTAAGAGGTCACAAGGGCAGCTTTCCGCTGCCCTGTGAGGATTGCTTAGGGGCGCTCCCCATAGGCAGGCCCTCAATGGCATAGAACCGCTAATACAGGTCTCGTAGGTGCCAGGTGGCAGATTTGTTTCCTGCTCAGGAACTGGCCATCTAGTCGAACAGGTGCCCAAATGCCACTGTTTGCTGGTGGGTTGTTGAGCAAGAAATGTTATCACTGGTGAATGCACAATGCTGACAATGCTGGATACAGCATTTCAATGCTTTTGTAGGGATTGCCATGGTTGGTCAGCACTATTGTCTGTTGTCAAGGTTATGTTTGTTTAGGCTGGGTTTACAATCTCCAATCGAGGCAGCTTGTGGAGCTGTCTGATATGCAACAGGGTGCAGCTCGCTGTGCTTTCGCCTTGCGTCAATGACTGGAATGATGGAGCACGTCAATACAACCAGCGGCGGATTCATCATTATTTTTCATATGCAGCTACATCCTGTGCCCACCTGCGTTTCGCAGCGAAAATCCATGATGCAAGTACTGTGCCAGTTTGTTAAGGCCTGGCAGTTCATTTTGTGTACTGTGCCAGTTCGTTTTGTGAGTATTGGATCATCAGTATCAGAAACCCGGCGTCTATACTCTGAATACAAGGCGACCTCTTGAAGCAGAGTGTTACTGGTGGTGGCCACCCCAACTGATGCCACGGGCACTCAGCACAGTCGAAGTTCCGCAAGGATTCTCCTCGAAGAAAAAAACAGCCCATGTCCTGACATTGTTGTGCGGACCACGTGCTCGCAGCATTTGGACAGCTGTCAGGTCGACTTGCCTATGCGCTGGTATCAAGTGGCCCTTCCATTGCGATTCATGGCCTTTCAATTGCCGGACAAGTGCAAGGATGCTGGAGTCTCAGACTTTCGAGCATTGACTGTCCAGCCTCGAATCACAGGAGTGGATTTAGCACTTCACAAAGCACAAATTGTTAATTGTATGTCTCAGGTGCTTGATTCTAGGGCAACGGCTGTCAGTTTGATATGCCACTCGTGGCCCTTGATGATTGAGTTGACCTCTGAGCACCTGCTATCTGTGGGAGATGCTGCTCTAACACGCAAAGTTGATGTGTCTTGCAGGCTGGGGCCGTCTTGGTTCTGGACTTGCTTGCCCTGGGCTATGAGCAGATCAGCTATATGACAGGGGGAAATTGAGCGGGAGGCAGCTCTTTGGAACCATGGTTGGGCGGCTGCCCACTGCAAGGATGTGCAAATTTTGTCTTGTGCGCTATGGGACTGCCTTTGCGCTGACCAGCAGGGACGGTCATTGTGGTGGGTGTTGAACAATTCGTGTGCGTTGTTTGACGACAAAGCGGCGGTGGCCCGTCGGAAGCGCTGCAAACTTTGGATCGCGGACGAGTGCGCATTGTGTGCACATGTGGTCACGCTGCATCCCTGGATTGCATTTTCTGTTGGAAAGTTTGTGTCCGAGTGTGTTTCATTGTTGAACGAACTGAAGGTGATCAGAGGTGGTTGAACACGAAGTCGTGGGATATTAATCCAACCCCTTGATGTGCTGCCTGAGGGCAGCGCTTGGAGCATTCAACAACTGTTGTTAGTAACCAGACAGCGTGAAAGTATCGACACCATTAATACGTTTTGTCTGCACCCTGTGCAAGCAAATCGCCAAGCACGTTCGACACATAGATTTCCATCCTCTGACTGGGGTAAATGTTGTCCACCTCAATCACTAAAAAAAATGGAAAGAGCAACCCCCACTTGGGTGCCATTCGGGAACTGTTGTATTCTGGACTTGTGCTAATTTATAATTTTTCCCTTGAAGGAATGGTTGCCCTCGATAAATATACTTCAATTGGTATTGATCCAGGCTTCCTCAGCACAATGCTGAACTTTCGTCAAGGATGGTCCCAGATCCACGCTTCTGCTCCCTGATGTGCTGCGACTTGACAAGCGCTGTTCACACTGTGCTGTTCAAAGTTATCATACCAATCGAAACAGGCACACAAACTGCACCTTCCAGGCTAGATATTGCAAGCGCGCTGTGTGCATGCTCCGTTGCTTGCTTGGATCGGGGAAGAAAGGGGTCTGTCCAATACCCATCATTTCAAGATATGAAGGCCATGAAAGAGTACAAGGTTGTGCTATGCTAAAACCCACAAAACTGAAACGAGAACGTCAAAACCTTAAAGAATCGAACCTTAACCTTAATATCCAAAAGAACTAAAAATGGCCCCAGAAAAACTAAAAGCACGAAAGTGACCTTTGTGACCACACCCAGAAATTAAGGCTATCGGACATTTGTGGGCGAAAACCTACAACAGTGCCATTCCTGGGACCCCAGACCGAACACGCCTGCCAGTGGAGGCCTGTACCCGGAAGGCGTATGGAAGGGCTAGCTTTAAACCCCACCCCCCACGACAAAACCCCTCACACGACTGATGTTGATTAGAAACAGCCATGCAGGTCATTGTGAACAGCAAGGCGAGATTCTGATTGCGCAGCAGCTACCAATCGATGAGTTGCTAACAAGGTCTCACTGGCAGCCAAAACCAAAATGAAAGGCTGCAAAGATTGTTAGTTTGCAATTTTCTCGTCTCCACCAATGCATGGTACAACTTGCCATTCGCAGACGAAACAGACACAAATCAAACGATAACACAAAAGAGAGAACAAAAGAGTAGGGCGCGACCTCCCAAAAATTTCATAGCGATGTTGACAGGAATGGAAATCTAGCCGATTCACGTCACTGAAATCAAACCCGTCGTGTTCTTCTCAACAAACCACACTTCGTTGTGGCGGTCTAGAACCCTAAAAGGGTTATCATAGCCGCAGAAAAAGTAGCTGTCTTCAATGACGTCGGCCCCCCTGTTCTGCAGTGCGTCAAGAAGGTCATTCGCAGTCTTGACGATGGTGGCCTCCTTTGCGTAACCCCCAAAGGAAGACACGTACACGGTCATCTTTGGCACCTCCTCTATGTAGACGTCAGGGCTGGTTGGCGTTGGTGGGGAAAGCTGCGACGAAGCAAATTTTGGGCAAAGAAACATCTATCAGCGAGTTCTCTGACGCTCAATGCCGTATAGTTGCTTGGTCCTCAACGTCCCACATGACGATCAGAGGCTACTGGAAGGCAAGTTTGGCTCAGAAACAGTTGTCACCGGCAAAATTCCTTAAAAGGGGGCTGCTAGCCGAAGATAATGCGCAGAAACTTCCAATGCAGCAATGGCTGGGATGCTATCACAAACTTCCTGGAAACAGGGTACCTGAGCAAGATGAAGAGTAGCTCTATGAGGATGCATATACATTGACACGACAGTAGAAAGGCAATAGGGATCCATTGCTCACCTGATAATCAAAAGGGAGAAAGAAGGAAAAGATGAAGTTTTCCTCCAGGCCAGAGCTGGTTGGCAGCATTCGGACACGGACTGGTGCTGTCATTGCTATCTTTGTGCCATCAGAGTTTGCCCCTCCAATGTATTTAAGCAGAATCTGCAAATAAGCACTTGCAGATCAATTCAGTTTTCAATCATGTGGTCCTCACGTTCAACAGTGTTCTGACAGCAGCCTTTGGCATGGTGCATGACAATGTCAGTCTGTGTGTTTGAGGATATCATTAGAGCAACCACACAACACAGAGATTCTCTTGAAACAATTCATAACTGTACCACAAAAGGTCCTCGTGCTCAACAGTGTTCTGACAGCAGCCTTTGGCACGGTGCATGACAATGTCAGTCTCTGTGTTTGAGGACATCACTGCAGCAACCACACAACACAGGGATTCTCCACGAAACAATCTGTAAATGTATCACATAGGCCTATTTTTTTCACAGGTGGAACTCCATCATGGATCTCAGCCAAAACAGGCGGGAAGGATTTCCACGACTGCGTACTACCACAATGCCTGAGGTGGAGTCAACCCTGGGGTTGAAAGATCCAGACAGGTGGACGTCAACACGCCCAAGGAGCACTCAGAGTGCTGGAAACTGGTCTGGACGACGTTCAGGACAGAACACATTGAAAGGCAGGGGGCAGCGATTGCACAGAGGCGACATCCCCAGGGGCTGTCGCCCATCGATGGTCAGCACCACAACGCCCGCTGTGCACACAACCTACGTCGAAACCCGTGATTTGGGCCTTGGCATATGATGAGCCCGTCACTTTCGTCGACACCCAAGCGGCTGCACAGCAGCACCACAAGCACAAGGTCAACAATGCTGCATAGCCAGCAGAAATTATCCAATGCATCCGTCGCGATTCCTGCTATGTCACCACGCAGCAAGAATTCAACGCCCGACTGAAGATGGACAGTGCATTGCCCATGCTTCCAAGGTCTCTGTGAGCTGTCCGAAGCACATCCGCGCCGCCCCTACCGGCGTCGTAAGCCCTCAGCTCCACGCCGTCGACCGTTTCCTGAACGGTGTACGTGGGGCAGTCAAGCCCATGGCAAAACCACGGAGAGTCGCCGTTGACCTGTCTGGACGCAGCAAGCGCCAGGAGGACCGATAAACAAACGCCAAGAGCAAGGCGTGGTTGGGCCATCACGGCAAACCTGCCCAATCCTGCGAGACGTCTTCCCTCATCAATATGCCTGCCGCCCTGTTTGCCACCCTTGGTGCTCGCAATGACTACAATTTTACCAGACGAGTCGATAAGTTTCTGAATAGTGAGATATGTATGGGCGCTTTTGGATGCACCAGGCACCCTGGGCTACACTGGCAGCCAAAAGCACGTTCACGACTTCCCATTGCTTGCCATCTTGAACCCCGTCGTCCATAGGTTGTGTTTGAATGTCGGCCAACGGCTTTGTTGGACTCTTACTCGTGTCGCATTAAATTCAAAGAGAGCCAAGGCTTGCGATTGATGGTGGCGCCTGGGCGGGCTTTCCTGGTCGGTGGGAAGTCTCCCAACTTAAGGGTTGCCCAAAGACTGCCAGCTACTTTGTTTTGCTTTGGGCCACTTCACTGCCAATCCAACTCCACCGAGTAGACTTTGACATCCCTGATCTGGTCCCGTGTCGTGCTCTATGCACCCCCGTCTGCAGCTCGGGTGGCTCCGTAGCTGATTTGGGTGGCGATGAGTGTTGGTGGATTCAATTATCTAAACATGTCGATGCACTCATGAAACTTTGGCCTGCCAGCCTGCTGCACCTAAGATAATGAGAGCCATACAAGCCAATTCAGCATTAAAATACCACGTAATCCTACAACTTGCATTGTGTCCTCTCACAAGAAGCCGAAAACCATGGACCTGATTTATTATCGACATCTTGTAATACCTCGGGTGCTCCAAGGCCTACTTGTCTGGATCTAGCTGGAGCGGCCTTCTGCGAGCTCCATTCCGCACTTGGTCAATTCATTTCCATATCAATCTAATTTAAGGATCAAATGAAGCACAATATATCGCCAGTTCAGTTGCTATGGAGCATACCAGTTCCTATGTGTACCGTCCTCATGTGCAGCCAACCACACCATGAACTTAAAAGTACTCAAAGGAAGCAATCTTACCAAGGGCCCCTGTCATCTGTATATCATCTGTATATCATCTGGTATCCCACGTGCAAAAGCAACACACTACAAGAGAAGGTATGAACGTGATAATACATGAATCTGAAATTTGGACACCAAACAACGCAAGCTGTCAATGACATGGCTGTGCCCAGCATGGCAGTTCATGGAGCAGCCATTGCTGCTGCCGGCTCACTGTTTGCTACATTGCTGGCCCGTCCATTGCGTCCACAGGAAGTTGCATACACCATGCTTTCTCATGTATGATGGCAAGCAATGGTGCGAAGAAAGGCACAGAAGAAAGTGTCGTCGCTGAACCAGTTATCATGGAAGGAAGTCATGCCAATCCCGCAGCTACCCAACATCTGATCAAGGTGAGCAGGTCTTCGGGCCTGATTGCCCATCTTACAGGCTGTTCACCAGCCACACAGCACCTTGAACATATTCCATTGTGGGCCCCGATGCCAAAGCAACCTCCCCGGCTAACATCTATGCAGCCAGTGTAAAAAAGTGCTTGTCATTCTTGATTTCAAGGGATGCAACTTCCCCCATGTCTATTCCACTTCCATTTCCCTGCCGACACATTGTTCCTTGGACACTGTTGCCAGCATTTTGCCTGCCATTCTGTGCTGTCTCTGGCCCTGGTCCTCCACAACACCTCTCACAAAAACCCTTTTGGGGTCCCAGAGTCACACAGGCTCCTCCATACAGTTTGCATCCCATGATCATGATTTCCTTTGGCATCTCCATCCCATGGCCCTGTGCTGTGGTGCAGGGTGTCGCCCTGTTGTTTGGTGTCTTGATTCTGACTGTGGGATCAACCTGGCCTATTATACTGTAAGCTAGAGCCCAGATAGATTCTTCGGTGTCTTCCAAGTCACATATGGAGACGGTCACTGCCCTTCCTTGACATAGAAGTCAATCCAGTCAAGTGCCAGCTGAACATCCAAAAAGGAGTGGGCACAGGACGAGAAAGAGACACATAGGAGCCAAGGGTGAGAGAGTTCTACTTCGGCCATTCAGACCAGCGCTGTTTGGCGTTCACAAGATGATTTCAACAGTGGGCACCCCAGCTTGTATTGGCTCATTCGCAAGATGAAGGCGCTGAATTCAGGCCATGCCCCAACGTATGCAACCAACCCTGACTGGAAGGTATTTGTTGTGCCAAAGCCTCAACACCCCCCCGCTTATCCAGTCCAACTGCGAAAAGATCTTTGCTGTGACAGGGTTTGATGGCCCATGCTTCTTTCCCCATCTGCAACTGTGTCGCTTTCAAAGACATTCGCTGCTCCAAAGCAGACTGCCAGTTCGAGATATTGGCTATCAGCCAAGACAATCCAATGTACATGTGCTCAGCAGCACTGCCCAAAGGGCGCAGACTGCACACTGCAAGACTCCATAGCTGTCTTGCACATGACACAACAGAGAACTGCAGCTGGCTGGGGCAGGCGGCAATATGGCACAGGACAAAACCACTGCTGGTCCCAGTCGACATTGGGTTAAGGAGTTAACCCTTACCCTTGCCCCACGAAATCTGGTTCTCAGGAAGCAAACTGTTGGGCAATACTTGTGTATGAAAAACCTGTCTCAGCAAATTCTACTCCTCACGCATCCAAGTACACAACTGACAAAGTGCTTGCAGCAGAAACACTTGCTTGCTCTTTGAAACCCTCCATGATAGCATCTCAGGACTTGCCTGGAGGACACTATTGATTAGCAAAGAACCTGAAATTCCACATCACTGCAGATCAATACCTGCTCGAGATCATTGTGTCTGGATGCAGCACCACAAGACCATCCTCAGAGTCCATGAGAACATGCTTTCTCCCAATAATGTCCTGGATAGCAGGAAAAAAGTTGACACTGTCGTCAGGGCTCAGTGCGGTGTAAAATCAGGGACCTGTGAAAGTGCAGCGACCTCATCGCCCTGGGAATCATGTATGAGACTGAGATTCACAATCGCAGCGAATCCTTCATAGACGCTGGGAACAAGGGCACAGCAATCAAACAGCCTGTAGCAGTATGAAAATCTTTTTCTCTCAGTTTAATGACTGTCGCCTTGTGAACTAGCAGATGGCCAAGCAGATAGTGCATCGCATCAGCACTGTAGATTGTTAATCCAGATGTACCAAAACTGCACAGACAACTGAATGAACAATATTCTAGGACGTGCATGCTACTTTCCTTTGAACCAAAGGCAGCTGCAATAATTGGGCATGCATTTCCAACGTGTAACAAAATGCAGTGACTGCATCACTGTCGTAGTAGCCCAACACTGGAATGTGGACACTCACCCACCATGTACTCATTGCACAGCTCTGCTATTTCTCATTGTTTCTCAGCTCTACATTCAACACCGGAAAACACATGTGTCTTCTGTCCTTAGCCAACATCACAATCGAGGCTTTCAGTCAAACAATTCCTTCTGTCTGAGTCTGCAGTGTTCTGCTTCTCTCATGAGCACTACGTCTTCCCTAGCTGTGTTGATGTTCACCTCCAGCAGAGGAGTTTTCTGACTGGAGCAATGGGCTCCAACCACTGCCAAGGATCTGACTCGTGAATTCATCCATCTCTGCAGAACTCTTCTTCTGTGTGCTGTTCAACATTCTGTTGTCAGGAGCTAATGGTGAGTGCCCTAGGGCAGTTGTGCCACGATTCTGCACTGGTGTGCCGATTGCATTCTGATCAAGGCGGCGAACTTTCCATGGCAGTGGGGACTGAATAGCTGTGTGATGCGAGACAGAGGGACCTGGGCGGTGCTCAGGAGTAGTCTTGTGTGGTAGAGTTCCAGCATCAGCGCCCAGTCACCCACTTGGTGGTGCCTGAGTCCTGCCATACTTCTTGTGCAGTAGTTCTGTGTTGGTGTCGATGCAGGGCTGATCACTTCCAACTGCAGTGGAACAGGAGCAGCAGGTGCACAATCAGTGCGTCGATGGGAAAATCAGTCAATGAGGCAAATTATGGTCTCATTTCAAGCACTGAAAACAAGCCCTACATGCACACATTTCACACAAACTAGAGACTAAGTGCCACCGTGAGATGAATCGCGACAAGAGCACCGTGCTGTGCATGTGTGCAGCACCTGATGCTGGCGACAAAGTGACAGTCGTTCGCAGTTGCGAATCAGGTAGGGGCTCAGTGGAGCTGTGTGTTGCAGGCATGTCACGATCGCACTGAGTTTACTTCCCAACAGCAAAACGGTGGGCACCATGCAGTTGGTTTGAACGTGGCACATCCAACATTTTCGTACCTTTGTGCCATGCCCCATGCTCTTGCTGTGCTACTTATGCACGTCTGTGTATTTGCGAGCTTCCTTAGCAGAACAAACACTACCTAATACAGTGCACCATTCCTGTCATGGTGCCACAACTTGGTAATTTTATGTACCTGTGTACAAATATGGGAAATGTACCGTGCGCAAAATTCCTGCCATACGTCGCTGTTTGGCCACTGCTTTCCACATTGCAGTACATGAACCTAGAGTTTGTGCCCTGTAAACAATCTCAATCAATGTAAGCAGGACACACACATAGCACACACCTGTCTGATTTACAGCAAGTCACAACAAGGCTCTCGCCAGCATTGCCAACAGGAGCACAGCCCCTGAACTGCAGATGCCAAACTTGCCAAAGAGATGCAAGTTGACACTATTGTAGCAGTCTGGGAACGACCAGAGCTGCAAGCAGACAGGAAAAGAAGTCTTTCTGAAGTTATGAGTTCTGCTTTGTTGCTGCTGTTCTACCTGCCTCTGCCTCCATGTTTCCCTTTCCTGTAGAGTGGCAACAGATTGTTCGTGTGTGCTTCCATTGTGGTGTCTTCAGTGGCGTCCCACCTGGCCATCTATCCTGCTGCATTGGGATGACAGAGAAATTGGAAAAGCGGCCCTCCATGCACATGCAGCAATTGACCTGTGCAAATCAACAGGCCATGGCTGGACTCGCTTTTACCCTGTGGAAAGGGCACCATGGGGGCACGATGCCTAACAAACAGTCATCAGATGATAGAAGATATGCATAGTAGCAGTACACAATTCCCAGGTTTGGTCACCTGCTGTAGCTGGACAAATTGTGCAGGCTGGTGTTCTTCCAGTACCTCCTTGCCACCAATGTATCCAAGGTTCATTCCCCCTTGATCACTTGTGCTTGTTCCTGGATCCTTTGACACACTCGCAAGCCACTGCATGTACGATGTTGCCTCCTGGCACACAGCATTATGCAGCCCATCACAGTCAGGCAATAGTCGTCTTTTGCCCTGTTCTACAGACAACTTGCTGTCCTAGGTGGTAGCGGAGAATCAATCTGTCCAGAATTGCCATGATGCACTAACCTCACATCAAGTGCCAGACCACACTGACTGCCTCATAGTGCTATGTGACCAAACGGCACCAAAATGTTGATTACTTGCAGTGTGCAATTTCATCTTCTGGTGACTTTCTTTGTGAGGCGGCTTTCGTGCCCTACCAGCTAGATGCTGCATTGTTGCAAACTGCTTCCACAGGGCGTACCAGAACCCTGAGACAAAAGCTGCAGGCAAGCTCGCAAAGCAATGCCCAAAGCGCATCGGACAGAGGACTGCCTGTAACATACCTTCAGACGATCGGTGGGCGCAGAAACTGATGCAGGCATCGGAATTGTTTGAAGAGGATAGTCTTCTTAATTGAGCTGACTCATTGGCAGCTGCAACAATGTGTCAACTAGGTCATTAGTCACCCTTGGACATCAGCAGCAGCTCACAGACTTGAAGATTGATCATCCGAATTGCGTATCCAACCTGGATACGACCTTGGTGGTTGCATGTCAGCTACTGCGTAGCACCACTTACCCCCAACACACACCTAAACCAATTGAAGACAGAAGAGAATCAAAGCCGCCAACTGCCACAATACCCGTCAGAAATCAAGCCAATACTCAATGCTTGTGGGCATGCACAAGAGCCTGTCTGGTAACAAATATTTGTTAAGAGGAACACGATCAGTCCATGGCAAAAAGTGCAGTGCCTTGCCAAATGAGCACAAAAGCTGTTCAATGCGCAGTTCAGTGATGTCAAAGAAAGACCCTATCAAAATTGACATCAATACACTGTGCAATGCGCTGGCCCCCGAAATGCCCTTCTGACTGTTACGAAAATCCACTGTCTTTCTGGATTGAGTTTCCAGCATTAACAGGCATGGCGAGGCCAGCACTTACATCAATTATGTGAATCTCTTGTCACATCCATGCTCCGTTTTGCTGCTTCTTCGGTGTATGATTGTGCATGAATGTGGCAATTTCATGGATGTCCTACTTCTCAGTTCTGCAGGAAGCAAGTGCAGATGCACTCTCATGCTGGTATCTCAGATTTGGCACAGTAGTTTTCCAGCGATAACCGTGCCCACTCCAAACACCAGCATGTGGTTATGTACTGCTACAGCCAAATCTACATATTCCATGGTCCAGCACACTGTTGATGCAAAAGCTGTTTGCCTGCAACTGTCCTTAGACGCATGAAATATCCATCATGCCCACAAATTTAAGTTGGTACTGCAACGGTCAAGCATCACTCATGGGCCATGCCAACATGGATGGTCAGTTGGAGTCATATTCAACGACTATGCTGTCACCTTTAGTCCTGGCAAAGCCCGTGCTGTTGCAAATAATAGTATGACCATTTGTTGATGCTTGCCCATTGCTGCACTCTGCATGCCTAGTAACCACAGACTGGCTTTTGTTTTGTCCCTGTGGACAAGATGCAAGGGTCTCAATCTGCCAATGTGAAATAAGTGGTTCCTCACGACACCAGGCACCAGGCTCAGACATAGAACACATAGATCCAACAAACATATGAGACAAAACAACACCACCCCAAACCCACATTCCCTGAAGCTGATGTTGCTGCATGATTTGTGACCAAGGTATGATGCAAAAGATGATATCGAAATTCTTGGAAAGTCCCCCAGCAAATACTGCTGGGGTGGCGTACCTTGTTCAGTACAATTGAAAAAAGGGCAAGGATACATCATCATATTCCCCTCTGGACACCAGCTGCAATGGCAACTAACAAGTGGTTGGAATGCCTGTGGGCACAAAAATTCTTTTACCCTGTTCCTGTCACAACCCCAAACATCACAAAACTGCAACAATACAGTCATGGCATGCAACCCCCACAGCAAAGATAACTGTTTGCACAAACTTCCAGTTGTCTGCTGAAGCAACTGCTGACATACTTTGCGACGCTGTTCAGCAAATTGGGGAAAAGGATCGTCTGGAAGCAGCGCACTTGCTCGTGAACAGTGCCCAGCATCGTCCAACTGGTGAAGGCGCATCAAGTTGACACATCTTGACAACTGCAATCTATGCAGAGATCAGTGTGGGGGAGGTCAATCAATGGGTTGCAAGTCTTGGTAAACTTACTGGCTTTTGGTCTTTCCTCCTGTCAAAACGTTTAGCAATGTCCTGCCCAAGCTGTTTCTTAGATCCTGACTGTTTGTGCAAAACATGCCCACATCTGCAGCCAAACACACAAAATCTGTGAATCTATCAATTTCCAACTCAATGATCAGCCAATCCAGGCAGCATGGAAATAAAAGTAGAAGCCAACATGCCCATGTCATGCAATAAAGTGCTGATCACGCTCAAACTTTGCAGCATCAAAAGTATGCCCTGCGTGCCAATCATCTTTTATGCCCTGCATGCCCATTAAGGTCTTGGTGTTCAAGCCTTATCCAAGATTCTGTAACTCCCAGCAAAACTACCGTACGCACTGCTGCCATTAGTTGGCCACAACGACTGCAACAGCTAGACTTGTGCAGGTGCAATAGTCAAGCAAGGATGAAAACAGTGCCCACCACTTCCAGGCAGGCAAATGGTGATGTCAGATTGAAGGACATCCAAAAACATGGAAAGCAGGCATCTTTACTGGTAGAACTGACATCTAACACAGTTTTGTCGTCCCTTTATGTGTACACGTCGATAAGCTTTGCCTTTTCATCACCAATTCCGGTGTGTGGTAGGCTTTAGTGGTGTGGAAATATTTCCCAGAGACGATGGATGCTGGCGCCACACTGTGAAGCACGGAAGCTGCTGATTCCAGAAAATGAATTTCACTGTCCTTGCAGGGGAAACCTGTGAATGAAGAAGTAGATCACGTATTGTGTGCAATATGTGCACATGGCGCAACGCTGCAACGTGGTATGTGCGACTACGGAACTACACCAGAGGTTTGAGATATGCATACTTCTATCAAACTGTCACGCGCACTGCAACGAAATCTGAAGTTTCCAAGCACTGAGCAAAATGCGTGGTACTTTGCAATCTATTGCCTCCCGCTCAACGGCGCTCACTTTATTATACTTGCTTGCCGAGGCAGTCCGCACAACGGCGTGCCAGTCACTTCGACGATAGCGTTTGAGTGCACAGACAGCGTTCCTCAGGCGAAGCCATTCTTGCATGGTTCAGTTCGAGTGGACAGTCGTTTTGTGCTCTGGTCGTTGTGCATCTCCAGCGAAACAACAAGAAGCTAAACTTTTCCTGACGCAGCAGCCGAACGACGACAGTGACCCGCATCAGCAACCACAGGGCATCGTGCGCTCGTTCCCACAAATTGGTGCCAGCTCCACTCGCCCGACCCGTCGCAACAGTTCAAGGGTCCACGTCTGCAGCGCAGGCACGCTCTGCCAAAGGAGAGGAGCACGGCACGCGGCTGCTGCACCCCACAGTCGACGCTGTGCAGACTATTCTCCACACTGACAACTCATTACGTGTCGTGGGGGTGCAGGAGTAGGGCAGTCGCCCCGGTGAGGGATCAAGAGGGGTAACAGGAACTGCCGCCATTGGAAGTTTCAAAGATTCTGTTTCGAGCCATCATCACATCCATTCCCAGTGGCCTAAGACCAACACTAGTGGTGGCGAATTTCTAAGTACCGCTCCCATATGTACTGAAGTTTGACTGTGTTCGGTCTGTAATGTTGGTTGCTGGGCATTGAATTGACTTAGTATCCACTCCAAGCTTGATTGATCGCCTTAGCCGGGTCAAGAACTGAGATGACAATGATGTGCAAAACCCTTTGTTTCGCAAAAACGGTCCATGCGTCCACCATCGAAGGCAGACATTGCTGCGAACCCCCATGTATGAACCTTGTGGCAACGCAATGAGCAGAACCTAGAATGTTGAGCCTGGATGTTGGACGTTTGGGACAGTGCATGGTGTAAACCACACATGCCCATACTTCGAACAAAATTATGTCACTGAAATGCAGAAATTGAATCTAAACTTGGCGCACTGTTAGATAAAGTCGTTGGCTATTTATTGGAGAAGCATCAGCACAGCCTTCGAGTATTGTGGAGGTCGAGTTGAACACGGATGTGATCTCTTGGGTTGGACCGGTGCATTCGCCTGAAAAGCCACCTACAAGATGTGTGAACAACATTAAAATCTTCACCGCACCATGACCGGACTGAAACCGGACCATAGTTACAGGTCCATACCATTGGTCCGGTGAATGTACCAGTGGTACGGTGGAGCAAGATGGTCCAGGTGTTTCCGGTGGTAGGTGCAGGTTAGGGTCGGTACGGGTGACTAGACCAGTCCGGTCACCAGTACAACTATAGGTGACCGGACTTGGCACACACCTTTGTCACCATCTTTGCACTCCAATACATTATATGCCCTACTATACTACGTTTTAGTTGGTGTGCGCCTGAGGCTTGCCACGACGAATGGTACCACCATCAGGGCAGTTTGCAATCTACTACATATTTTGAGGAAATTTCCAGTTTTAAAAATTTCCAAAACACATAATATGTGTAGATACGTCTTTGGGGTGGGAACACAAACGTTGTAACATGTTTAGGTTCATAGAATGGAGCTGCAAACATATGTTCATGTTTTCTGCATACGCTAGAAGTATGGTGTGCATCGCTAGCAACAAGCTTTCCAGTGCATTTTTGGTCAAGTTAGACTTAGTAAGTCGTAATACGACACCAAAATCAGATGTTGGGGCAATGGATCGCCATATGGCAACATGTATTGCGCAAATTCAATCTACGATCCGCCCCCATCCTCATCGCCTTCACTCAATCTTATATCCATGGAATCTTAAAACAATCGCAATTAGGTGAACAGCGTACCCAGTCAAAATATCATAGAATGACTTTTTGTCTTGTAGGTTTTCTTTCGCAAGTTTCTTCAAAAGAATATTTGTAGACACAAAACTTCCAAGCTCTCAGTGATATCTGAAATTCATGCGCTAGAAATTCTGCCCAGCAGAATCCGCAGTCCAGTCCCAGAAACGGCATCTGTCTTCATCAACTTCCCATTGCTGGATCGCTTTGGTATAGAAGGGGATGTGAAAGTGGACGCTGACATCCTTTGTGCACCCGTTCCATGGAAATTGCCATTTATTGTAGTCGCCCCCAGTGGGCTGACTGCCATGGATCACTATATTGACATGCTTGACATTGCTTGGCTGTCATGGCACTGGCTGTCATGGCTTCCATGACAGTGCAACGCCACAGCGATTGTGATACATGCCCTTTGAATACCAAAAATTTGTACCATCCATACACATTGAGGGCGCGAGCCAATTGTAGGGATAGCCTCCAGCGCATCAAACAGGCTTTGGCACCCAAGACTGCGCCAATATGGCAGGCCATTGCAATGACCAGCTGTTGCAATCGTTTGGTGCGATCCCACACTTTACTGGCGTATCTTTGATGCTAGATGTGGGCACGCCGTAGCAGATGACCACTGAAGGTGCGCCCACACATGGCAGCAACGCTAATGATGGTGGCAATGTCCGCGCGAAGTTTCTGTCAGCAACTTGAGCCCAACTACACTAAATTCAGTTGCCAACAGCTTTTCTTATTCTACATTCTTGAACTTCAACACTGTGAAACCAGAATTTTAGTCCGAAATGCAAGGCGTCAGAAAATTCTTTGCGCTCAGGTGGGCCACCACAAGGAGAATAAAAACTAAACTTTCCACCATACGCGTGACATTCCAGATTAGAAATGAAAGCATGTGAACACGCATACACTTGAAGAATGAATATCTGAGCATGCACATGTGCAATGGCTTTGGAATTCTGAAATAGATACGTAGATGAGCGTAGTACGCTTGGATTTTCAAGACGGGCACTTTAACATGCGCCACAGGCTTGGTTTTTACGTTTACGTTTACGTTTTTGCTTTTACTTTTTAACCCGTAAAAACGTAAATTTGCAAATGGGCCTATTTTTACGGCTATTTTTACGTTTTTACGGCTCCCTTGGACGCTCAGATTACATGATGAAAGTTGCGTACAGTGATCAGTCCTCCGCCATATCCAGCACCCGCAACACAGTGTCCATCTCGCATTTGGCAAGGGCGATGATGATGTTCAACAAGAACTCGTTCTCTGCCCCTTCCAGGGCATCTGGCTGCCACTCTCCGGACTCCGTAAGTCTGTATGTACTGTCCTTATGTACACCGGGCAGTTTTTACGTTGTATTTACGTATTTTTACGCATTTTTACGTGTAGAAACGTAAAAACTGTTTTTACGCGTAAAAACGTAAGTACGATCAGTTTTTACGGCGTAAAAACCAAGCCTGATGCGCCATACCGTGAGAATTTGGCAATGGGACACAAACACGCGTTTCAACTTTTTTGACGTTCTGGTCCAAGTGCAAAGTGAATATGAAATACACAATTATTTCCCATGTCAGTTCTACAGATTTAATCGGCCACATGTCATGATGGTTTTGCTTACGAGAAGGGGCGCGGCTCTGGTGTAAATGCAGCTGTCGACAGGAGGTGGGTAACCCTTGGCGAGCTCATTGCTGCCTCGTCATCATTGTCGGCATCCGGCATCTCGGCAAAATTGGAATTTGTTTGAGGGCATGGCTGGCCATGGAAGAATGAGTGACCAACACGCAGTGTACGAGCATTGGGTAGATGTGCGAGGCGGGGCTACCAGAGACACACGAATTGCATTAGGCACAATCTGTGAGCTACTCCTCTAATAGCCAACGCATATCCTAACGCATGCAACTTTCGCTCTAGGTAACGGGATTAAAGAGTGTGTCGCTTTCGTTGAAACACATGCATTCATCAATGTGCCACGCGCGTGTTTTCCCATACTGCAAAGCAATTGCTGGCTGTCAGAAAACCAGCGATTATTTTGCTGCATGGGAAAAGGCGACTGGCTTACAGGCCTGTGTGCCTGTAGGCAGCCTGTGAGCAGTGTTCCTAGGGACACTGGAGGAACTCGAGAATTCGTGCGCAGTGAGCTGGACACACAGAACCTGCGTGTCTGCTTCATTGCGCGTCAGTTCTTAAGTTCCTCCAGTGCACCTGTGGGTCAATTGTGTGGAGGATCGTTTGTGGCCCAACGCGTGCATACCTGCAAGACCTCAGGCACATTTCCAGCTCCATGTGGAGACATCCTCGGAGAACAATGAAACAGCTTTCGGGTTTCAAATTTTTGCCACGGTCGACTTTGAATGTCTACGCCCGCGGGCTTTACTCTGCAGCCAGGTTTCTAGCCGTGACCATTAATTTTCTGTACAATGTGTAAACGAAAGTCCAAAATGTCCAAGGGCGTGGCCACTGGAAGTTTGGAGCCATTCAGATTGGCGGGTTTTGAAAGGGACTCATCTAAGACAATATCTGGGAACCACCCTCCATGCACACTTATGTTCTGGTCCTCGTTGTCCCAACCAAGACAGTAAAGCAAGGCGCGGGATGGGGAGGGAGTTCAGTACAGCATTTGCTCCCGACTCTGGTTGAGTCGTAGTCCTGGACTCGCATAGCTGTTGGCCAAGCTATTCGGTAAAACTTATTGCGAGAACGCCCGGTTGTGAATGGTGAAGGAAATCGATTGATTTTGTAGCACAAAATCTTCATCATGTGTGAGCCTCTGAGTGGAACGAGGAGATCGGTTGGACAGACCCAAATCTGTCTAGTTTCGCGCTATTGAACAAAAGCAAAAAACAAAAGGGGATGGTAATCTGCTGCGAAAATGGCAATGAAAATTGCGCAGAAAGCAAAGAGATTTCCGGGTGGCAGGACTCACCAAGCTGGATCCAAAGACACACGAACATTTCTGGCGTCTCAAAGCCATGGTAGTCTCGATGGATATGGTTCGGCCTGTCTTGTCTACGCCGCTGTCGTCGTATCTGAAATATGACAGTTCTCTCGGTCAGATGCAACTCGCTTTGGCTGCCTGCGCTGTGTATACATGTAGTGTCGTGCATTCAGCATACCATGTCGGCATTTAGAGCAGTACCAAATGTGAAAAAATCAGCGGCAGCAACTGTCGGTGAGCCCGCGAACGAAGGTAGGGAGGCGCTGTGGGATCTGTCCGCAATTTTTGTCCTCTCCCATGACATCGTGAGGCCGCCACTAGAAAATTGTTGGCACTTTTAATTGCCACTTAAAGGCTGCCGGGCGAAAATATGATTTAGCCACGTGCATTTTGCTGCACTGAAATGGAAAGGCAGGCGAGAACCATGCAGGCGATTCTTGGACAGAGAGTAACAGTACATCCGCCTCTGGGCGTCGTAGCATCTAAGCCACTAGCCTTGAGTACTCCAATCACACCGTGCAGCTTACATCAGCCAACGTGACGCTAGAGTCTTGTAGCTCTACAGTAGATGTTTCTGTATTATCATGCAGAAATATATGTTTTTTGAAATTTCCACTGGGATGAGATTTCCATTGAGTGGGGAGCATGCCGCATCTTGAAGGCAGCAATCTGTGGGAATGCATGCAAGTCACAAACATTACACTCGCCCAGTGCCATTCCGCCAGCTGTTGGGCCGGACAAATTCGAGTTTAAGGAGCTGCTGCACCTGGCTGGCTTGCCAGAGGGTAGCAATGAGTTTGGTGGCGCAGTGTGACTGTGTGCACAATATGCTAAGGGGTTCACCGCCCTTGGAAATTTCATCCTGCCTGTCCGGTGTTTCTTGAGGGCGGCAGGTGATTCTTCCATCATGGCCCCACTGCACCGGATCGCATTTCCTGGGGCATTTGGCGCAGTAAAACCCGGCCCTCGTCCAGTGTGCGTACTCGGGGGCGTTGTGTTCATTGTATGAGTCCCTCATCGAGATTGGCGCACCTATGTTGGAGCCCCGTCGGCTCAGGAAGCAGGACGAAGGCCTGTTCCAGTCTCTTCCCGCGATAGATGCGCTGCTGGGAGCATGGACGTATTCATGCGGTCCAAGAGATATGGAGTAGGGCTCGCGCTGCATGAAAGATACACGTCACTGGGGGAAATCCAAGACCAGGACAGACGAACGCAAAATGCGATGCGTTCCTCATGCAGGGGACTTTGCGAACATTTTGCATTTGCAAGGGGCAGCAGATTCTGTCCCGCCGATACTTCGCAGAAAGAAAACGTATGAAACACGGATAGAAAATGCCCCCACCGGAGTGCTCACTCCCGTTTTCTTGACAAAAAGGGAGTTGAATGGCACAAGGAGGGTTCTGGTGCACAAGGTGATAGTTACTGACGCGGGAAATTGTCGCGTGGGCCGCCGTGCCCAAACTCTGGAAGTCTGATATATGCCACAAACGCCATGCGGCTCGCCGCTCCCAGGAGGGTGATCCTCTGCGGGGAAGCTGCGGTTGCCTATACAGCTGCTGTGGTCTCACCCCGTGCGCGAGTCGCGTGTCTCCCCGCAGCATAACGAAGGGGGGTATCCATCGACCTGACTTCGAACGAACTATGGCGTATTCGTGGGGCCCGTCCACGGATTCTTCGGCAATCGACTTTTTACTGGCGTAAAATGAGTCTTGGAAATAGGTGTGTGTGTTGGTGTCCAGCTTGTCCAATTCTTTGCATCCGACGTTTCCCTCCTCTGGTGTGCATACCGACAGCGCAAAGAATGATCATGTGTCACGCGCATCAAATGGCTCATGCGGGGACACCTCTTCGTGCAACCATGTCCTGCACAAGGTTCCAGCCCACCAAAAGAACAGAAAGGCAAATTTCAGGAGTACTTTGGCCCACCAAAGTTTGTCAGAGCAGGCCGTCGAGCTGCAAGCTCTAACAGCCGTCTTTGGCCTGTTGTACCTGGCCCCAATTCATTTTGGACCTTAGATGCGCATTTGCTTATTTGCAGCAGCAATGCACCCACTCTCAAAATGGCGACAGATCGACATCTAGACTTGGAACAACTTTGGCGGCAATCAAAATGATGAACTCCCACAGAAAGTTAATTAACAGTCCACATCATCTGCCGCGGTGTCCGCAGCGCCGCACAGGGCTGCGCATTCAGGTGCCTGCTGATAGCTCCTGCGGATATGGTGCTTCGAGGATTCTGACCTGCTACCCCTCACCTGTTGTGGAAGTCCCTTGGATAAGGGTGTGATTTCCGTTTGGTGGTAATCTGTGAAAGCGTTTCCCCTTCGACATCGCCCCATGCTGGGTAGTCCACCACTGCGTGGAAGTGGAAGCAAGCGATTAGGTCAAACACACATTTCAATAGGAGCACACCACCAATGCTCGCATCAAGGCGTTGGCTGTCGGTGACTCAAACATTCGTGGCAGGAAGGCCAAGATGGCTTTATGTGCCTGGTTTGGAATGTGGATGCGCATGGCAGTATGTGTTTATTAGTCAACTGCGTTCCTTGATCCGTCGCCAAGGTACCTGGACGCCAAGCACTGACGTGTGTGAAACGACCGCGACATTAGTCTTGTGGATCGCCAAGGGAGGATGCCTTGCTATTACCGCAATTACATGCACAAATGGAACTCCGTGTCTGTCGCACCCTCGGGATCTGGCTTCACGAGCTGTGCTACGAAACGACATGAGAAACGTTGGACAGGAAGAGACGTCATCCGCATTGGGTGCACCTTTGGATCCGGTGAACTGTAGCTCAGAACGGTGGAAGGTTCCGTATTCCATTTGAACCTCATGGCGCCTGCAAACTGCTGTGGAGCAACGAAAATGGACTCTCAGAACGAAGCCAGTTGGCATGGGCATCTGTCAATCACACCGGAGGCGCCATTTTAATCCACGCATTTGGCAATACTCCCGCTGTCATTTAGCTGTGTAACTCAGGGGTCTTCCACCTTAGTTAGAGCTCTTGGATCAAACAGCACGGGAGATTGCGTGAAATGTGCGCTCGCGAAATTGTACAACATACTTTTCTCTGGACGAAAATAGGCCATCATCTGAATTCGTACATTGTGGTCTGTATAACCTGATAAAAATGGGGCAACTAGCACAGCAGTTTGGATGACCAGTCGATTGCACCATACTTGAAGCATCAATTGCCAGACGCCCATGGCATTCTTTGTGGACATGTGCTCTCCGCCTTTGCATCCAGGACTGGCGTAACAAAGATACTTGCTCTTGCCCAGGCAGTGGACGTCGGTTCAGTTGCAAGTTGTGTTTGTTCATGTCGCGGTTGTCTGTGTGGCTGCGGCGCTAGGTGCTGCTCCCGTTCCATGGTCTCGGGTGAGGACTGAACTATGCATGTTACAGTTTAGAAGCTACTTTTCATGGTGCGTGTTGTAACAGCCCAGCGGGCATACAGCCCGAGTCACGGCTGAATCCCGTTTCCCCCTGCTCTTCAGAACATACTGAACGGGGGCAGCAGGAAACAAGGGAAGCAAGCCGCCAATCCGGAACCAAATTTTGGGGTGCAATAGCCCAAGTCCAGCTGCCGCGAGTTCACGGGACAGAGGAGGAACGCTACCAGCCCTGGCGCTGACCTGTTCAGGAGCCCCCCAGCCACCTGTCCGTTGAGCGAAATGTGGAAAGAAGGTGACCGAACAGGAACCAGGTTCCAAACACCTCACACGTCACACGCCTTGACTGTGTGTTGACGGAGTGTGGCAGGGCCGTCGCCGACGTCCGAATTGTGGTGTTCTGGTTCGCTGTCCTGGGGTCGCCAAGGAACAACGTCGAGATGCCATGCCTCAGCGGACTGCCACGTCAAATTGTGTGACATTCGACAAGTACGGCAGCCTCCTGCGGGGTTCCACAGGACGTTGAAAACAACACGCTTCAATTCGATCTTCTCCATTCGAATTTAGGCATGTTGATTCATCGTATTGAATGCCGGCATTTCCGATAATGCCTCAAGGCACTCATGCCTCCCAGAAAACGTCAGGCGCCCATGGTAGGGGGGACGACCGCAAACGCCAAATGTGAGCACCTGTCAATTGCAGAACCCAGTGGACACATCAATACCAAGGTGCCCCATCCACAGCTGAATATTCATGCACATCATAAGCATTCCCTCCCCTCCGCCATCTCTGATCCATGTAACCATCTTTCGTCGCAAACACGCTAAGTAACTAAGTCAATTTCCACCAAGATGTGCTGCAGTTCATCGTTCCTGTGGTTGTGTAAATTCTATATCATAAGCGCCCTTCTCGGCTGCAACAGTCATTTATTTGTTAGCGAGCAAATGCATAGTCCTGAACAGGCAAGCACACATCGCTGCTCAAATCACCTCCGGCTACCTATGAGAAACCAGTGGCTGCTGCTGCTGTATCTAACCGTGGATATTATTGAGAACCAACCTGAGCACATGATCGAGTGAGCAACACGTCAAAACGAGAGGTAGGTGTGCCAAGGACTGCTTCTAGCTCTTCCACTGCAACAGGTTCCTTTTGCATCCTACATGATCAGTGCTCCCCAGAAACTGACTGTCATTTTATGTCAACATATCAATTGTCGATGCAACACAGCGCAATATGAATTTTTGTGGATTCAATGACAAAGCCGTTTTCGAAGTGCGTCAATCTTGACGAGGCACCCATCATCATGGTTTTTCTATCACCCATTGTGCAACAGCGGTGCATGAGGCAGTATTGGCAGAAGAAAGTGATTACCATATGTCAGTAGTCATAGCAGTCTGTCTACTGGGAATTTAGGGTGGTCAGCGAGAGTTTGGGGTCATGGGCTGGCAGGGCCAGGCCAAAAGTTCTCATATGGGTACTTCTCAACTGTGAGGCCACGATCCCAGCTGTAGCTGTTGCCCTGGAGTGAACTTGGTGTTGGCATGCACTGAATCCAGCCCATGTCATGCTGCATTGCAGCCAAAGATACTGCATGCCAGAGTCAGTTACAAATAGCACACAGTGCGCAGTCCCTTGAGCCCCAAGCTGCCCTCTTATACGCGAAAATATTCTTTCCTGCCAACACAACAACAAAGCCTGTTTGCACATGAATGTTAGTGTCTGAGGAGTCGGAAACATGTCAACCCGCAGCAACCTGTGGATCTGGATTTGCAATTGTCACAGTGGTGAAGAGCCCCAAGTTGCGATCTGCAGAGGTATGAACCAGTGGGCACTTACGAATAACGTTGAAGTTATGAAGACACCAATTTTTGAGTTGCAGAAGGAAACAAGAATGGACACAAATTGTAATTCCAGAATGCATGTTGTTGCAGAATGGCCTCCTCTTTTCTTCAATGCCAGCTGGAAAGTCCTTGAAGGGAGGCCATCTGCTGCACCCCAAGCCTCTGCTGCACTCCACCTCTTTACATCAGGACGCAAGGCTGGAAATGGCAAACAACCTTCTCCCCTTGTTGCTCTGCACCACGGAATGCGAAAAACACGTTCACATCAATGCGGACACAATGGTTGCGTTATTCGCAGCACAACAAACGTATACCGACTTTGGACGCGCACGCCCAACACTGTGGAAGTCCAAAGTTGCCAACTCTTTCTGGTGGAGCACGACGGGAGCTGATCTGGCGATCAGGTCGGATTGCCGGAACAACAAGTGGGTGCAATTTCTACGTCCCAACGGGAGGGCCCGCTGCAATCCGATGTTCAAAGGTCGACTTCCCTGCCAACACCGAACAGGACCGCCATGACCGAGCTGGGAGAATTCTGACCGAAACATGCTGCTCTCCGACTCGTGCGGCCCCAGGCTGTGAAGGCAAACGCAGCGACAAACTGTCCTGCTGCCTGCTACTAGGGGCGCGGACAGGGGCGAAGTCGGAGCCTTTGTTTCTTTTGCGTTAAGGCGCGAGCGATGCGATGTGCCGTGGGGGCGTGCACCATTGCGTTGTACCCGCTTCCGCCGCTTTGCGTGGCAGCCAACAGAGGGCGCATGTCTTCACCAACAAGCCTCCTGAGCTAGGGGCGCTGCCGACCGGTGTTCCGTCCGGCCCTTTGCTCCGCAGCGACAGCCCCGCGCCGTCCTGCCCCGCCCCGTTGAGCGTCCGTCAGCGAATCCATCGGAACCAGGGGAGGGGCTGAAGGCGGTGCGACATCAATGACGTGGCAGTCGGTTCCGCCAAACCTGCCGCTTGACTCTGCAGAGTCGAGAACAAATAGAGGAATCTGGTGGGGCAAGATCAGGTTTTCCCCTATCCGCTCCTCGGGAGGGCCTGCCTTGAGAGCCAGGGTTGGTGTCGGGCAAGCCCGCAGGCGTACGCAGGGGCCGCACTGTTGGTAGTTCGCCTCAAAGGTGCGGTCGGGTGCCGTGTTGGCGCGGACTGCCGCGGCACAGGCATTCGAAAATTGGCGGCCAGGGCTCTGGTGCCCAATGGGCCCGCGCGGCTGTTTTTGCCCGTCGTCTTCGGCCCTTGCTCGAACCAGCTTGTGGGGTTGCCAATTGCTTGTTCATCCCTCTTGACGAGCCCGTTGAGGGCCATCCGGCGCAGCTCCCGCGGCGTTGTGGTCGCTGCCCTGCCCGACGGGCGTTGCGTTGCGGCCAGCTGGCCGTTGCACGGCTCGCCGCCTCGCCAGGCGGATTCGGTGGCTGCCAGCCTCCCTGCGCTCCCGTCAGCCGCGGAAGCCGCGGCGGAACGGAACCGTTACTCGGCAATGGCGAAGGGGTGCCTTGTGTCTATTCGGGCCGTCTGCAGCCCAGCGACTGTGGGCTTGGGCTGCAGGGTGTGGCGGCGTGTGGACTGCTCTCGCAGCGCACCAGAGGAAAGGCTCTGCAGCACATGGGCGTTGCTATTTGTCGTTGACGCCTTTGTTTCTCCTGCAGTGTCCGCACAGATGCCGCTGTACGCTCACCCGAATGGCTCTTGCTGTGGTAACCCTCGCACCTCTGGTTGGCCGCTTCGTAGCATGAGCGGCGAACACAAGGATTGTGCTGCGCTCCAGGCGTCGCGTGTGTGCTAGAGACGGCTGCCATCGCTTGGGATGGATTGCGGAATTGGGCCTGAAGGCTTGTAGTCTCAATGCAGGTCAGTGGCCTTGTGGTCGACGAAGGACTGATGTCGTGGGCTCCGCAAGGAAGCGGCTGGGCTGGAGCCCCTGGCGGCCAGGATGAGCTGGCGGCCCGCCTTGGTCAACTCGCGCTGCGCGCTGGCGCTGGCAGCGACCCATCGCACATGGTGTCCGCAGGCACGCATCCCCCAGCCCTGGCCTCGGAGCACCTGCTGTCCCAAGCAAGACATAACCACTTCTATCAAGGGTCCGGGCTGCAGGCTTTGCCTGTGCAAGGCGGTGTCCACTTATCGAATATGAAGCAGGCAAGACTGCCTCTGAGTGTCAGGGGAGGGGCCAACTCTGTGCCTGTGGTGAATGCTGGCTTGTTGCACGCTGCACACCTTGGTGGTGGACGGGTTGGGACTGGGCTTCCGCTGGGTGTGGACCGCCACTCGCGAGCTGCAGCACAAGGCATCAACTTGCCAGGCTCGCAGCAGCACAGCCAGGCAGCGCTCCTGGCTCTGCAGAGCCAGCTGGCTGCTCAACTGCAGCAGCAGGGGTACACAGGTGAGGTTGGATTGGCGCCCACTCTGTCCAACTGCCCATGCCATAGTTTCACCTGTTCTTCTGTGTTGAGGAATGTGTGGTTGTCGGTTTTTGTGCAGGTACGATCGCGGCTGTCCCTTCGATGGTGCAGCAACCACCATTGATGTATGGCCAGATGCCCACTGCTGCGGCAGCAAATCAGGCGAATATGATCGCCGCAGCTGCGGCGACCGCAGCAGCACAAGTAACAAGCATGCGGACTGCAGCAGGCCTTGCAGGTGAGACTGTTGCACCCAAGCGAAGCATCCAAACTTCCCGTACTGTGCATCACAAATTCTAAGCCCAGGCCTGCTGCTCCCGTTTGCAGTCTAAATCATTGTGTGTGGCGTTCTGTGTTACGCAGCACGAACTTCGGTTGGCACGGGTCAAGTCAAGCGACAGATGCTTGATGCGGATTTGCCAGGCGTAGGCCAGAGAATTGCTTGGAATGCGAATGGCCTTTCCCAGGGGTCGTTTCAGGCGCCAAGCAGTGCGCAGAATGCGCTGCAGGGATCACTGGTCTCTCAGCTTGCTCTTGGTGGGGCTGCTGGACTGCAGCTGCAGCAGCTTGCCCAGGGTGCAGGCCTAGGGCATGGCGTGGGTCCTGCTCTGAACAATGGCAGGGCTGAGTTGGGTCTCGGGACACTTGGACAGTTGGGGGTAGGGGTTTGGGGGCAGGGCATCACTTCCCAAGCCGGTGTTACAGCGGTTGAAAACCTGCAGACTGCAGGCCTTCATGCACCGTCGATAATGGCTACTGCTCCGATGCTGCCCATTTTGGGGGAAGACCTTGCAAAGCCGACAATGCACCAAAGCCAGGGAGGGTTGACAGGCCTTGCCCCAGGAGGCCTTCGCTTGCTGCATTCGGCTCCAACAGCGTTGCAGTCGGCAGCGTCTCTGGATTCTTCGTCTGTGAAGTCTTGCGATACAGGAGTGACAGTGGGGAGCACTGCTGGTGGTTCCCCTAAGTTATTGTCAGACCTGCATGCCCAGAAGGTCAAAGCTGCCGATGGGGCAGCAACCTCTGCGGCGATGGGAGCCCTTGATGTTTCCACCTTGACTCAAGCACAGGTGAATGCTCTTATGAATGCACAGACTGAGGAGATCCGCCTGTTGGCTGCACAGCTTGGTTTTTTGGGCCGACCTTCTGCTGTCTCTACTGCCGTGTCAAGTGGCCCTGCTGCGGGCGTTCCTGTGTCAGGTGTGGCACAGTCAGGCAGCGGAGGCGGCGCACACAGGGAGAGGGATGTGAGCACCTTGAAGACACTGGGCCAGATGCTGGCCAGAACGGGGAACACTGTGGAGAGTGCAGTGCAGACGGGGCTCCTTGGGGGGTGTAATGCTGAGGATGTGAAGGTTGTGTGGGAGGCATATGCTGTTGAGTTGGCTGGGATAAAGCCAGCCGCCAGCCTGGGGTCCGCGTGGCGTGTTGAGCTGCCGAAGGGCAGACACCTGGGCACCTCAGTGCTGTCAGCTTCTAACCTTGTTGCACAGCCTGCAACCCGTGAGAACGTGGGTGGGGTGATCGGGGATAAGAGGAATACCCTTAGTCAGGTAGGGGATGCAGCAGTTCCTCCCCAATCGTCAGTTGTCGCTGGAGCTGCAAACACCTCAGCAGGCACACCTGCCACGTGTGAGCTAGATGGCCCTCCGCTGGCCACTCAGCCAGAGGAGGAAGAAGGGGAACCCAACTGGGACGAAGTGTTTGAGACTGGAGAAAACATGGTGCCATCCCAGGTCATTTCTGCCGTGAATGATGGAACCGTAGATCTCACAACCGCTGGTTTGAAGATGCCCTCTGAAGGGGCCTTCAATGCCTTCAGTTATGGGTTTTTTGGTGAGACTGGGGATTCTTGTGGGGAGTTGCTGGAGGACGACTTGGAAGCTCTTGAGAAACAAGAGAGTGGCGACGTTGTTGACGCTGATGATGGCGAACAAAACCCCACAGTGTGGGAGACATTGGCAGGAGAAGGGGAAGAACTTCACAGCGAACCAGTGAAGGAATCCCAAGGTGTTGACACAGAAGATGAAAACAAGCAGGGGCTGGGAAAAACAAAGGGTGACGGATCATGTGTTCAGGCAGGCGGGGATACTGCACTTGCCGACGTGGTGAGCAGCATGTCTGCCAGCTTAGTACAGGCTAAGCCAATGTAAGCAACGGGAGGCATGTGATATGGCTTTTGTGTGGCGTTGTGAAGACAAGGCCAACTGCAAATTTTGGTTTTCTGGAGATTAGGGTATGAGGGCTAGTACCAATTTGATTTAGGTGGTGTGGGATCTTGTTGAAGGCCAGGTGCGGGTGGACAGAGGGTGGCTTGTGTACAATACAGTGGTGCTGATGGCGATGCCTGTCTGATGCTGCGGGAGGATCAAGGCTGTGTATGCTGCACAGCACTGCAGGACAGAGCTCCTTTGCCACAATACCCGGTGGCAACGAGAAGGTATCTGCAAGATCATGCAAGTTCAGTCCAGGATTGGGACATTACGAAGCTTGGCTATGGCAGCCAATTTAGCCGCAGTGCTGAGTACCAAGATTGCCGGTGTAAGTTTGGGGCCACCATGGTTTTGGGTGTTTTCTGGTTACTGGGTTCCACATGAGCTTGTGCCCTGGTGATCAATTTTTTTTCCCATTTAATTCATTTGGGATGTTGCATCCCTTCTGCAGCGGGGAGGTTTGGTGGTGTTAAGAGACGGGGCTTGACGAGCATAGAGTGAGAAGGGGTCGCAAGAACGAGCACCGTTATGGAAGACATTTGTTTTTTTATTGCATGCTAGTCAGGTTGTGAATTTCGTGTTCTTGAACTGGGTGACAGTTGAGGATGGCCTTGTAGCTTGTGTGAGAATTGGGTTAATTCGTTGTTTTGAACAAGGTCTGCAAGAGACGCTGCGGGCCAGTGTGTTTGTGCCTACAGAAAAAGGGATATGCATTAAAGAAAAGAAAAAAAACGCTGATATGACCGGTATTGTGGAGTGTGTGCTTGTGTCTTTGTGCATGTGTTCGTTAGCACAATTCAGAAGATTTAATTTTCGATTGTCCAACGTGCTGAGGGCATTTGTTTCATTTTTAGGCACATCTATCTTTTGGTTTGGTGGAGATTTGTTATTGAGGGCCATGTCCAGGAGTGGTCCCACTACATGGCAAGCCTGGCCCTTGTGAGCCTGGTGGATGTGCAGTGGCCAATTCATTGGAACGTGGCGTTCGTGTATTTTTGGGGCTCGGGGCTGGGGGCGATGGTGTGGGATGCACAGGACTGCCGGCTTGCTGATGGGATGTCAGATTTCTGGTTGGGCAAGGCCAGTTGGGCAACCAGCTGCCAGCCTCAGCGTCCATGGGTGGGTCGTTTTATCATCCCGACCTTGTTTGGGGCTTGTGATTCGAACAAATGCAACGGTAGAGGGGGCCTTGTGGAGGGCAATAAGACTTGAGGGTCTTAAGAGTCATGGTGCCACTGTATGTGCATGTACGTAATGGTTCTTTTGTGGGGCACAAATGACGTCAATGAATGGGGTGAACGTTCAGGTCTTGTGGAAAAGAGCATTTTTTGGTGCGCAAGACTTGGGCGATACTGTAAGAATGGGCGTGACGCGATGCTCGTTCAATTTGGGTATGTTCAACGTGCCCTTGCAGTTCCGCTTTGGAATTTCAGTGTCCGAGACGAACATGGCACGAGTTTGAAGAAGGACGCTCGGGCATGTGAGCGAGGTGCACTTGAGGTGGTCGTTAACGGTGTCGCCACAACACATTCCCAGGGCTTCACATTTATCTCCTCTCGAAAAGCAACTTCAGCCTTACAAGGCTGCTTCGTGCCGTTCTCCATGCTGCGACGTGTTTCCGGAAACTCCTTGCTGAGTTCAGCCCCACCTACTTGTAAGGGTGATACTACAATTGGATGGTGCTATTGTGCAAAGTTCGAGCACAATGCTGTAATTATGGAATGTTAACACGTTAACGTTGGGAATGGCTGCCTTGAGTGTCACGCTTAGCATCAAATTGATGCTAGGCTACCCCCATCTGCAAACCCAACCCGTGTATCCTTCAACCTCATGTGAGTGTCCTGAAGAGACAAGACGTGCAGTGCTGAATTGGGGTACACAACAAACCAAGGACAGTACCAAGAAAGTTCTTGTTCAACAGTTCCTTCCTGTGAGGGTTGTTGCAGTACGTCTCCGCCCGGCCCTTGATACGTGCCCATGGGCTGGCTCCCACAGCGTGCTGACAAATGGGGCCCTACTCACGCCCCAACCTCGGTTCGAAAGCTGGCCCCGGCCCTCCGCGCTGTACCGCAACAATGTGGCACGGTCAAACGTCCTACCTGCCATTCAATGTGACCAGCTGCTGTGCAGCAAACCAGCTGCGCCACCCACACAGTGCGAGTGCCAGCCTGATTTCAAGACACACTGGCCAACGCTCCCATAGCAGACGCATGATCGTCAATGTGCTGTTGAGGGCACACTCCCACGATGATACATGTCATCTCCTGTCCCACCCACAGCCTCTTCCCCTTAGATGCCATTCACCAATAGGCAGCAACTAGCCGATGGACTCTGATCAAGGCATCGATCGCCAACGGCAGCTGGAGAATGCCACCAAGCATCCACAGCCGATCACCGGCATATGTCCACTGCGAGCAGCTGTCCTCCAGGCCATCAATGGACTACCCACCCTTATTGCCACCTGTCCCATGGCCTCGCACCGAGTTACAGCAAACCACCAAAACTGCAATGTCTGGCTCGGGGCACAGCTTCAGACATGAAAACTGGCATTCGCAGGTTTTCTGCAAACAACGAAGGCTGCCCCGGCATCTTGCTGCCCAATTTGGAAGCTGCTGCAACCTCAAAATCTCTTGGCGTCCACAGTCTCGACACCCTCTCCCCACCAGCATCATGGAGCCCTAAACCTGCTGAGATCAATACCGTGCTTTCTCTCAAGCAAATATGCCTGATGCATCTGTCCAAATAAACACACAAGGAAACAGGGGGGAGGATTTCAACCAACTGCACATGCACGTCCACACCATAGCCACACATATCTCTCGGTACCCTCATCCACTTCAGCAATCCGTCTGCCTGTCTACCACAAGAGTTTCCAAACTGCAGCTCAAGCCACTGCCAAGCCGATCAAAAGTAGCCAACCTCACAGAAATCGTACCCATGCTACCCGCTCCTGCCCTCCCACCCTCAAGACGAAGTCCAACGTTGCTCTCATCAATGAGTGTGAACCCTTTCCATGGCTGAGCATTGGCAATCAAACCCAAGCCTCCACAAACTCCAGGGACACAACACAAAGCCTGCAAAGCCCCTGCATGACTCACACTGGCAGAGACGCCCACAGGCAACAATTGGGAGAGAGGGGTGGCACGCTTCGGCAAGGGCGCAAAGCGGGAAGCGCCCTGGGCGGCGCTCCCATCCCTCCCAGGGCGGCGCTCCCATCCCTCCCAGGGCCCGTTCGACTACTGAACATCAGAACACATACTGCCTGATGTGGTACCCGGTCTTCCACTGGTAATTTTGGACCACCTGCCTCAGTGTGAGGAACGCCACCATCACAGCAGTGTAGAAGGCAGCCCTCCGTCCGTTCTTGGACTCCAGCATCGGCACCCCGTACGTCATGGCCACCGTGGCGCCGGCGAACAGCAGGTACAGCGTGCCCATAACGAATCCCTCCGCTCCCAGCTGCTGCGAGTGCCCGGGGTAGAAGTACTCCACCTTGCCGTCGGGCTTGGGCAGTGCGAAGGGCACGTTGCGGATGATGTTGAACATGCCGCCCGAGGTGGCGAACCAGCACACCGCCAGCGTCCCCGAGAGGTAGATCAGCGGGTGGCGCACCCAGGACATGTAGTACAGCCGGTAGGCCACCCCGGCGCCCGCGAACAGGGTCACCAGGGCCAAGATCCCGAAAAACGGCGACTGCAAGATCGACCTGCGCTCGATCTCGTCCACCCCTAGGCCTGTCTTCGCCGCCACGAACTCCGCGATCGCCTCCGCGGGCCACGGGTACTTGGGGTGGTCCTTCATCGACATCCGGTCGCCCTCTGGCACCCCGATGGGCCCGGAGCGGCCCACGGCGAACCCCGGCGCCACGTGGAAGATGAAAGGCAGGGAGTCGGCGCCCAGCCGCTCGAAGATCTCCTTGCTCTCCCTGAACTCCATCTCCGCGAAGAAGACGCGCCCCGCGGCATCACCCGCGCCATGCTGCCCCCTGTAAGCGCTTGCCGCCAGGCCAAACTCCGCCCTCAGCTGCTTCAGCTTCAGGCTGGGCTTGTCCATCAGGTGGCGCGCCGTGAGCATGAACACCAGGGAGTAGGGCCGCCTGGCGCTGGTGGCGTACTTGGCGAACAGCGTGGGGCTGAAGTGGATAACGCCGTCGGAAGACGACCGCTGCAGGCGCAACAGCCCCGCGACCTGGCACAACAAACGGGAAAGCGTCTTATCGGAGGTGTGGATCGGGTGGAAGGCCCTTTGAGAAGAAAACCGATGGACACCAGGGGTGAGAGGACGGGCGTGTGTGGAAATGAGGTCACCTCTTCGGCATCTGGGTCGCCGTCGCCGGAGGCGCAGGCCAGGGCCGCGACCAGGAGGAGCGCCAAGGCCGCCGGCAGCCTGCGGACGGGGGCCGACGCCATGGACGGCCACCGGAGCGGCCCACCGCGGGGCGAGAAAGAGGAGGTGCGTGGGCGGCGTCCCTGCGGGTTCCCTGGGGCCTGGTCGCTGATTTGAAGGAGGCCCAAGCCGTGTTCTTCAGGCGGCATCGAATTTTATGCTGCTGTTTGGCATTGATTGATGTGGCGATTTTCTGAGTACCCCGCCTGAACCGCGTACTTTGACATTAGCAACACCATGTTAACCTGATTACGGGGATTGATAGGCGTTGGGATACTTGATAGTAATCATGTAGACTGTAAGATGTGCCCTGGCCATACAAGGGCGCAGTGACAGTTCTGAGAGTGTGTGATGCCTATGAGACGCTGTTCGCAACACTGCATAATGACCACCGTTTCACTGGATGGATCACTTATGCATTATGGTATGCGACTTGTACATATTTGTACATTACCACTGAGTGTATGGGCTCTTTTGACATATGTTTTATGAAGTGGGTTGCATTGTGGTGATGAATGGGCATCTCTGAAGTGCGGTATGGCTGGTTGATGATGGATGATGGTCCTTGTCACATGAAAAGGAAAGTTCTGTGGGTGCAAGGAAAATTCGAATTGTTCGGTTGCGGGGGTCGTTGCTGCCGCCGGCAAGGCTCTTCGTTGTGGGAAGGGTGAACAAATATGTAAGCCCCGGCGGTTTGTGTGTGGTGTGGCCTGCGTCTGGCTGTGTGCCAACGCCGTTGAAGCATCGGCGATCGTGGATTCGCGCTTCCCGTGTGCACTCCAAAGGGGGCCGTTTGAATCGCATCAACGGCCATTCCTTCAAGAACGCTGTACTAGAAGTTTTGGAGAAGCCAACTGCCCTTGGAAGACTGAACCGGCCACCGTGATGACCAGAGCTGACCCATGACGAGACGGCGAACCCTACGGTGCCTCGACTGGGCCGCTGGAAAGGCCCAGATGACAGACTGGACTACTGAGGAAATAATGGAGAAGTAAGAAACATGCCCCGTCCTGAGAAACGGAGCTCCCAGATTAGGAGAAGTGCCGCTCGGCTGGAAACGCCCCAGGTTGACAACTGATGCGTCTGACTTACCATGGGAATGCCAGAAACGAGGCTGGGAGTACTTAAGGAGCCAGGACTTGCCGGGGTAACGCACCCACGCGAGGAATAGTACTGTGCGCGGGCTAACTATGGCGGGTGCCGCACCCTACGCTATGCCGCGGCATGAGGAGTCAACTCTTGATGGGAGATATGGTAGATTCGGAGCGGGATGATGCAGAGAGTTGGGCGCGGTACGATCCGTTTGGGCTAGGTAATTCGGGCCAGTACTTAGTGCGGGGCGTTGGTATTGCGGAGCTTGGGTAATGCACCCGGCCGCTTAGGCAGGGTAAGGAACCCTGGGTAATTTGGGCCAGTACTTAGTGCGGGGCGTTGGTATTGCGGAGCTTGGGTAACGCACCCGGCGGCTTGGGCAGGGTAAGGAACCCTGGGTATCGCAGGTTAGTACTTAGACCAGAGTGGCCGGTGTGTTAAGACGCGGGTAGCGCACCCAAGGAAAAGGTGCAATGGTACCTTGTATGGAAGTGACGGGACCTTTCACAGGAACCCTGGTAACGGTGCCGCACCAGCGGCTTGGGTATTTAATGACACACGGCTTTCCTTGTAACGAACAAGAACTGCGATCTTTGGGCCCACCTCGTTGTTGTGTGTGTATCCTTCGGGGATTGTACCCCGTTGAGTGGAGAACATGCCACACTGACAGACGCCCATTGTGGGTGCACCTTGCCATCGAGTTCAGCTCGATCGGGCAAGCATCCATTTCGTGCGTGACCGGTCCGTTGCCAGAAGATTCGCCATCTGGACGCCAATTCCGCGGTGGTTCGTGGCTCGACGCCACAATTGACGCCTGTTTGTGGAAGGTCGGGCATTGAACGCCGCGGGAAGGCATTACAACGAACAGCTGGAGTGCACATACAAGAGCCAAGGCGTCATTGTCCGTGAAAAGTTAACGGAATGGGCCACATGCTAAACTAACGGCAATCAGCGTCTCATATCAAGTAAAGGATAACTGTGCAGCGAACTGTGCATGGACACTGACCATGGACATGTAGAACAGCTTCAACAATGTGAGCAAGTGCCACATCTCTGTGCATGATGGCTAGCGCTGGGTGCATGAAGTGGAGTCTCTGCATGGGGCCGACGTTGGAAACGCTGGCGAAACATGTCCATGTATGTTGGTGAGCCAAAAAACGCTTTTTCAGCGCCTGCACCATCGAGGGACATGCCAGACCAACATCTAGGACCCCAGAAAACCAACGATTTGCGGCTTATACTGAGAATGCGCAGCTTTCCCTATCCCCTCCAATGCCGTTTGGTTAACAACAGATCGTCCTCAAGCTGCCTTAAATTGAGCACAACCTAGTTCCGCACCAACTTGCACTACTTGTGCGCCGACTGTTCGACTTTCGTGCCCATAATTTCGCACACGTCCAGATTGGCAGATGGGCAAGTTTGAGACACGCACATGGGACGCACCGCATCGCCTCTGAACGCACCTACATTCCCAGTTCCTTGAGAGTGCCTTTGGCAGTTGAATCACAGCTTCAACGGGCTTCATGTTCAGCGTCACACACTCCACCCAACTTAGGGATCCCACAACGGAAGATGCTTGTCCACAATATTGTTGGTGGTCAGGGTTTGGTGACACAGATGGTGGCTGCTTTTGTCACTTGTCTCCAGGGACCATGAATGCATATGTCTGCGTTAACATGCATAATATGCAGATATGGCTGTGCATGCTGTGACTGTTGCGCAGCTGCCCATGTTTAGTTTGTGTTAGAATGCATATTATGATCGTTGTGTGCAGGGCGCTGGAAAGTGGACGACATTCTAGACCGAAGAGCCCGCAACCTGAACCCAGCACTTCATCACGTGGACAGGCATGGAAACTGTCTCGCTATGCAGTTGGCAGACGACCTGAAAGGCATGAGCAGAAAGCCCAACAGATAGCAAGCCAGGACGTGCATGATGGGCCCCATGTTGCTGTGATCCAGTCATTGACGGGATGGTCATGCACGTGTTAACTGGTGAAATGGTTTCATGCTGTCGTGGGGTCGATAATCGATTTCCAACTCTGTTTCGCGCTATTCAACAGGGCACCAGGCCAACAGGTGGGCAGGCCAGTCCCCCAAAGACAAAGCCACACACAAAGACATCGACCTTGTTACCATGGTACATAAGACGCAGTGCACAGCTTCACTCTCAGTCTCCATTCAAATTCACCTGTGCACATCAAACGGGTAGCATACTAAAGGCAGTGGAGCAGGGAGCAGCGATCACCTCAAGAGTATCTCAAAACATTGCCCCACTCGTAATGCCTACCCATTATCAAAACACCACCTTCGCACTTGAAATGTGTTCTGCTGCACGGGCCAGCAACGAAGAGGTTCCCTACTTACTACCTCAGGCTGCTCTGACTAACTGCCAGGTACCAAGATCTGTGACAACCATGAAACGAACCCAGATCTGAACTCCCTGCACAGTCACCACCAGGTCTTGAGGGTTCCTTCTTGGGTAAGCATCTGTGCTCCTGCCCTGCACAGCCGCCAGCACCGAATGTCCAGGGATGGTATTCTCAAGCGGCGCCGTGTTCACAGGCTACACCTTCAATGCTGCCTGCAGAGTGGTGTTCATCGCATTTTGCGCAAAGTCTGAGACTGCCTTCTTGGCCTCCCTGGAGCATCTGAAATATCCCCACAGATTGGCTGCACCGAGCAGCAGAGCCATTGCCACGACGAGGAGCCACTTCCATTTCAGTGAAATGACAACGTAAAGCCCATAGAGCGTCCACAGTACAACATTTCCCACCAGACCCGCCCAAAACACTATCTTGTCCGTCCCATTTACCCCGCGCTGGCCTTCCTGGAGACTCTCAAACCGCCATCCATCCTCTTGCCCATCCTCCGAGACGTCGTTCCACCACCGCAATCCCACCAGCAGCCTGCCGGTCACATTCTTGACCACCCAGAAATCGGCGCAGAGGAGTATCAGCAGCCCCACGAAGTTGCCCGTGAATCCATAAGGCGAGAGTTGTACCAGTGGCAGCCACACCAAAGCAACGATCTTGAAGACCAAGTGGAAGAAGCGTGCGACCGGGTGGCTTGGGGAGTTCCCCGCATCCTGTGCCCCATCTCCCTGGGCCATGGCTGCCCGGCAGCTTCACAGGCCCCAATGCACTCAACGGGGATGTGCAGCAGCACAGAGCGGCGGCGGTTGACGATGGCCAACCGGAGAGGCGTCCGTGTGAGGAAACACGCCGTCAACGTTGGAAGCACGCGGACCTTCCAGCCCGGGAAGCGGGGAGGAGGGTGGCCCAGCAAACAAGCACCCGTGACCACCGGCGTCAGCACCCCTAATGCCCCCCTGGCATTAGTTAGGAATGCCCACCCCTGACCTTCCCCCAGTGCGGTTCCTGCCCAGTCGAGTTTGCGGCAGCCGTGCTGTTGCCAGCGACTTGCGTGTGCAGCAGGGCAACCGGCGCGACAACCCCCGCGGGATTGGGCGGCAGGATGTCGAGCGGGGCGGCGAGCTCTGCGTCGGCGTACTGGCGAGTGGCGGGCATGTCCTACCTCAAATACGCCAACCTGTGCGCGGATATGGTCAGGGCCTCGGTCAAGGAGCCCCTGAAGGCGGAGGCCAAGCTCAGGGAGACGGTGTACTTTCGCTCGGCGCCCTGGAAGGATGGGAAGCCGGAGAAGCAAGGTGGGCGGGGTCAGAGCGGCTCGCGCTGCGTCGCAGCTCTGTGATCGCGTTGGTTCTTTGGCACGCAGAGCGGTGGACCTCGTCACTCGCATTCTCGCAAAGGTCTGGTTTCGGACGGCAGATGCACCTATACTGTGCCGGGGCTTAGATCCAGGAAGTTCGCCAGACAGACCAGCGGCATGGTGCAGTGGCTAGTTGCGGATGTGGTGGTGTTCGGATGGCGAGCCGGGACCCAGACTGGAGTGCGCCATTGTGAGCAGCTGTGACATGTTCAGTGCACTTTGAGGCATGCTCATCCTCGTTAGAAATGCTCCATGGGACGCCACTGGAGCATCAATATAACCCCCCCCCAATTAACTCAGCTGGCATATTTCTTTGCCGCCTTCTGCTCATTGCTGGATAGTAGCCTCACAATTCAGGGACACTGGGTTTCTCTGTTGTGCTGTTGGATGGATGGACCCCTTGAATCTCAATCCTACGGAAACAAGGCTCCGTAAATAGGGCATGACAGTATCACACCTTCACTGCAGCCCCCTTGTGAAAAATATATTTTGAAATGGTTCCTGATGTGCACCCATCTGTGTTGTCCTTGCTGGTATACCATTCGTGTCCCTGTCATGGACTTAGATGCCTGTTAAGAAGTGTCGATTGGCAGCACTGCGCAAGAGGGCTTGCTGAGAGAGCACAAAAGCCTTGCAGTTTGTTCCATCACTGGCAAGGTGTGGCACAGCAGGATGGAAGAAGTCTGTGCAATTTCCAGCGTTCCTCTGTGTTGTTGGGTTCCTTTATGTGTCTCTAGATGCTCAGGCTGCCCTTTTGCCTCTGTGGGATATCCCTGCTTGCGTTTTCTTGGAAAAGAGTACCCAGCTCATGGTGTGCACAGGTTGTTGCTGCCCCCCCCCCAGTAGTAACTTCCATGACTATGTGTTAGTAATGTTAAGTTGCCTGAGTTGTGCTGCCTGTCCCACATCCGGTTGGCAGTGAGGACGTGTAGCTACAGCCGCGAGCACTGCACAGCAGCAGGGCAACTGTCTGCAGATATGGAGTGCGCTGGGCCAAGGCTTGTGTGGCAGTCGCTTGTTAAATTGCTCTCCTGGGAATACGTTGGGGATCAGTTTGCCACAAGACAGTGCCACTGATTTTGGCAGCCATGCACATCATTCACATAATAGTGCCAGCCAGATCTGGTTTCCCACACTTTTGAGTCTCTAACCAGCTTTTACAGATTGAAAGTGCCACAGTGTTCTTTGCTAAGGTTCAGTTGCTGAGGCAGGTGCATGATTGTTGTTAGACAGTGCTGTTGTGATTTGCTAGTACTATGCATGGACACCAGTGATAGCCATGCTATATGAGAAGGTGAAAGCCCAAGATGGTAATCGAAAGGAGAACTGATTCCTGTAGTTGCCAAAACCACCCGCAGGCCAAGAAGCCCACAGGTTACGCATAGAGGTGCTGCCTTTGAAGCAATGGCATTGGCCAGTCAGCATACTGAAATACCCATGCACATAACATGGTCTATGTGTGCTACTGTGTGTGTGCTCATGTGGCCTCCCTGCCTGTGTAATGCGGCATCGTTGTGCTGAGTGCCTGGCTTCTGTGTGCAGTTGTCACCGATCTACAGGAGGGTGTGTCCAAGTGAGATCTACAGATGGTGCAGCAACATCTAGCAGATTCTGGTGCTGCTTAACTGCATGGCAGATGTTGGAATAGCCTCGGAGTGACTGAGATGCTGATTCAGCATTCTGCTGCTAAGCCTCCAATGCAGCCAGATGACGGATGGAGGTGCTCATTTAGCATCTGATGCACAGGACATGTGATATGGAGCTCATTTAATCACCAAATCAAACACTCTGCAGTGCAGTCACAGAAGATGCGTCGTGTGGTTGCAGAACGAGTTTCGCACCTTGCAGATCATAGTGAACTTTGGAAGAAGAACGCGCCCTGGTTCCTCAGGGCAGTGAACGTGCAGTTATGGGGCCCAACGTTGAAGTTCATCTGGTCCCAGTGCCTTATTAGGGTCAATACCCCAATTCCCTGCAAGTAGCCTGTTGCAGCTCTGAATTGGCGCCTGAGCACCCAGTGCTTGGCCAATATCCCAGTGCACCGCCCCGATCTCGTTGATTCTGCAACGGGTTGGAGATGGTTGGACACAAATGGCGCATGGCGTGAGTCACTGCCTAACGACCTAGCAGGACCATTTCACTTGGGCTGTGTTTGTATTGGACTACTTTGAAGCATATTCCCGCAACCATAGTTGTGTGGGCTGCCCCAAAAAAGCTACTGTGAAGGGAAGGCAACGGAGGGCCAATTCGTCATGTAAATGGCACCAAAAGCTTGTGTTTTGGATGAATGGATGACCTTGGGCACAACAACATTGCATCGCAACGCCGGTTTTGGGCTTGGACCCCGTTTTATGCCCATAATCGCCAAGTTGCGATGTGTCCACAGACTCGATTGTAGGGAAGTCCGCTGAGTGCGTGTTGGAATTTATACTGAAAGGCCCCGGGCTTGGCCTTCCCGGATGGAGCAGTGTCGGAGGGCGACGGTGGGGCAACCACTTGGCGTTTGGCGATGTACAGATTTTAAGACCGGCATCAAATAACTAATTGACATTGTTGGCCATTCAAATTGAGGTGCCGATTCAAACCATCAGCACAGCCCACCTAATCGTCGCCCTTGGCGGAAACCCATTGACAGGATACTTTACTTCATAGTTAGCTTCAGCACCAAAATTGGGTGTGTAGGAACTCTGCTGATAAAAATGCACTGCGTACTGTCCACAACAAGAATCCTACCCATGGACCCTGATCTTAAGACTGCATGGCGGCGCGCCGCTATACCTGACACATTGTGGGAACCAAGGGGCAGACTTTGGAAACAACAAGCGTTGTGTATATTGGTCAGAGTCCAGCTAAACCTCTGACAGATATCCATGGGAATAAACGCACAGGTCCTGAGCTGGACTCGGCCAAACTTGTCTCGGCCCTCAGCCCAGCCCAAGCTATAGTGCAAGTCGACCCATCGCAAAGCCACCTGCCCACGATAGCAATCAATTCTTTATTGCCAAGCCCACATGAGACCAGCAAGTCCTCCCAGTTTCCTCACCTGGACCCATTTGCATCCAATTTAGCCAGGGCTGCTTAAATTGGCACGTCCTGTCAATAGCGCATTCTTTCGGATGCACTGCTCCTGCACGCCCACCTAGCACAAGCAGAATGGGCTGAATCGAGCCCATCTGGCATAACACTTCACCCTGGGAGAATTTGCCTATGGGTTTGACAACGAGGTTGACAGTGGCTTTATTCTTTTGCAACAGTCATGTCCTTGTCCCAGTTATTTGGATCCAAATCATTTACAACAGGCCACAGGCCAATGGGGCCAGGGTTGCAGCTTACAGTCCAGCTGATTTGCGCCTCACACTGACCACAAAAAATGGCAAGGGGAAACATCCAATACCAGAGTCCGCGGTGGGCTGTCAATTGGTGTGAACAATTCTGATAGCCAAGCTCAAACCTCTGCTGGACATCACTGAGTACAGCAGAACCAGGAGTGTGAGCCGCCTCAAAAACATGCAACCCTTGCACATACTTCGTGCCCCACACCAACCTGCCCTGCACACAGAAAATAACACCGACACCAATTGCATGGCCTGACCAACATGTGCACTATCAGCTATCAAGTGCATTTTTGACTGTGCACCAACAGCACAGCCCACATGGCCCAGTCTCAAAAGAACAGCTGCTGACAGTTTCAAAGGTCCTCCTTCCCCACATTGGCAAAGCTGAAAGGAATGAACTTGTAGCCATCGCCATTGTAGAACTTATTTTGGTACTCCACCCAGTGGAGACGCAGTGCGTGAAGGAAGGCTGACAAGGACTCCATGACCATGAGGACCCCAAGGGTGGCCATTGCAAATACAAAAAAGCCTGCACACCGCCACAACTGAAAGTAAGTACACCAAGAGACAGACCACTCTCATGGCACTCTGTCTGCGACAGGAACGACTTCCATCGTTGCGTGAAATGAAGGGGTGGCACGAGAGGATCTGCAACACAGGCAGAACCAACAGTACACCAAGCAGTGCTCGGCATATGCTGCACAAGTGGCCTGCATGTCTGACCTGTCTGAAAGCAATTCTATACAACTGGCAGTACACTACTGTAGTAAAGACTACCAAGGGAAGCATCGACGATTATGGATACAGAGAGGGGCTCGGCGAGCAGACAACTGTCAAGTCATAATACTGCTGGTTGGCAGCTGTAGTGACCCTTCGTGGGTTGCTGTGAATATCCTCTCACATGAGGAGCACAGTACTGTGGCAGCATGCTGCAGAGGGCACAGATTTAAAGTCAGGCGCCAGCAAAAGGAAGCCTTATTCTAATCCTGTGGCCCTGCTCACCTGTAAGTATCATGATAACTGAACGTGCCACAGAGGCCTCATCGGCTGCAATGCTGACTACCATCATGAGCACCCTGTCGTAGAACACCACACTGAGCTGCGAGTGTGCAAGGGTGAGCGCCCACAGCCTTAAGTATGATGCTGTGTTAGAGACAGCGCCCAGGACGAATTCAATGGTGTGGATCATCTGGTGCACCATGATGTCCCCAAAATTGAATACACCAGCAGCAGCTTCTGCACCCCCATGTGCGGCACCAAAGTTTGGCTCATCGTCGTCAAGCAGTTCCTGATCATCAGAATCATCTGCATTAGCCACCGAACTATAGCCAGTGCGAGATCTCCCCTGCAAGCAGGCACCCACTAAACTTCAATGGGCGAAGGGTGTGTGTCACAGCAACAAGTGGGTGGGCACTCAGTGTCCATATCATGGACTACACCAGGCAATAAGGGATGGCAGGGACATTGAGGCAGAGAGTGGAATACATGTGAACAACTGCAGTAGATTCTGGAGTGGATTCGGACACTCCAAACCCCCTGTCGCGGACACCCTTTCAGGCTGCAATTTTTGCAACACCATCGCATGTCCAAGAAAACAGAGCTGCAGAAAGACAGGCATGGAAAGGGCTTTGGTAGCACAGCATTATGGAAGCACATTCAAACTGCTGTGCCATATGTGCACATCCTGGACAGAAAGCCCTCCAAACCACTGTCCCATCTCACCAGCCTCCCTGCCATATGCCTTTTGCGAAGTATGAGAGGCTTTGGCAGCAGCATCCAGGGCACAGAAATGAATGCCACAAATATGAGGATCCCCTGGATGGCTCCCTGGCCGTCATACAGCCTCCCAGCATCGTCAACATGCCCAGGACTCAGAAACATGTTGATCATGACGTTGTAAAGATCGGCTGTCCCCTTGTTGAGTGGAGTCTCGAGTGGAGGCGGATATTGGTAGGCAAAGTTGGCATTGACAGACCACTTATACACGATCATGAATGCCAGGTATCCAAATATGGAGTTCAAAAACAGCAGCTGAGGGACGACCTCACACCAAATCGAGAGGCTGTCTTGGAAATACTGCTGGTTGAACAAGGACATGACAATCCCCAAGTCCATATGCAGAACGCCAAATATCACGGACATCTTCATTTTGAGAGAGTTCGTGAATGTCAACTCGTTTTTGGTCCCATGCCAAGCTGGGTCCAGACCCAAGGGATAAGGGTCCGTGTTATTGAGAAAAGTCAGGTTTCTTCCATGGCAAAATCTGATGTCCACCGCTGTCCAGTCATCCTGTGTGCCATTCTGGCACACCCATTTTGTGTCCCCGAACAGTGTTGTGGGCATAGAGAAGGCCTCATTGTACACCAGCCCTGTGTAGATGGAGAAAATGGCCATCATGAGGATGACATAGCGGCCCCCAAACAGCATCTCGAACATATCATTCTTCGTCTTGCTCAGTGCCTTCTCACGAATGACCATGAAGAGGGCAAACAGCAGCATGAGGATACCATGCCCCAAATCGCCAAACATGACGGCAAAGAGGAAGGGAAATGTCACACAGGTAAATACTGAAGGATTCACCTGCAATGCACAAGGAAAAACAATCAAACCAAAACCAACAGGCTGCCAGTTCACAAGAGAAATATGGCGTGGCACATCATACAGACAGTGAAAGGACACAATTGCAGCTGCGCACACTGACGACATATGTAGAAGCCATCAACAGCAGTTGGCCACCACCATATGGTGATCATTCCATGCATGACACATAAGCAGTCAGAAGACCATCAGTGCTGTGTCTGCATGCGGTTGTCCATACCTCCCGGTAACGGGCAACTCCATAAGCTTCCACAATCGACTGAAAACCTTCTGTAAACTTGTTTGTCTTGAAATACGTGGGAGGAGGACCCTCAGGACGCATGTGCTCCAGGATGGTGCTGGTCTGCAAAACACACCAACCACTAAAATTGCAACATGTGAACGGGCAGCGGGACGAACGTTGAATACTATGCAAGGCAACACTGCAGCTGCTTGAGTCCTCCCGGGCCAGTGAAGGCAATTGAAAGGTTGCGCTGGGCACACAATGCCCCAGTCAGTGCGAACAATTCGTCAACGGCAAGAGAGACACAAGGGTGTTGCTCCATTAACGAGTCAATACAGGGATATTGAAGTGCATTGATGCGGAACCACCAGGCAATAACACCCTCCATCTGCTGCATGCAGAGTCCACACCCAAATCGATTGACACAAGCACTGGACATGCAACGCGCTTCCTCCCAACTGTGTGAACATGCTGTTTGAGCAGAATCAACACCTCACGACACAACATCTGCAACTTGCTGCTGTCGAATTCACCTGAGCACTGCTGACTTCCGTAGCTGTCACAAGAGCGTCTCTGACTTCCTCAAGGGCATCCACTGGTACCCACGCCTCACCCACCAATACCTTCCGTGAGTTGTCGACAGACAATTTGTTCATGACATGAAAGGTGGCCTTTTCCCTGATTAACCTCTCACACCAGCCTGTGATGTTGGCAGCTAAGGTGCGCAGCACCTCATACCTCAGCCTTTCTCCAGCTTCTATAGTTGTTGACAGTTCTCTGAGGCGCATTGTCACCTCACTGTTCATTTGGCGCTGGCGAGCAGCCTCCTCTGGGAACGGGTAGGTGTTGGCACCATACACTTCGCATATCTGACATGGAAGGCCAACAACAACTGTACTTCATGCCATCATTCCAAGCCATAACCAACAGCTTATTGTGGGCATGTTTGCAAACAGTTCATACAGAGATTAATCAGCAGCAGCAGCAGGCCCACAACATACCAACAATGCCAACAATGGTATGGTCAATGCCACCCGAGCGTTTTGCCCCAACAGGGTCACTGCAACCTGTTACCAAACAGACCAAAAGCGAAGTATTCTGTGCTGCTTGCCCAAATAGGCCTCTACCTTCATGATCTTAGTTCTTGCCCGCTCGCCAGCATAGAAAACCACAAAGACATCCTTCTCCAAGTGTTCCCCTGTGGCTGGATCCTTTATTGTGCCAACATCTGAGTGCTTCAGGAACATGTTGCCTCGCGTTGCACGGAACAGCAGGCGCTCAAAATTCTCCAGCTTCTCTTTGGGGATTAGCCCTGCAAGGAATCCAACCCGAGCAACCTTGTGCTCAACCTGCCACCAGGAACAACAAGGTCAAGGTAACTCTCATGGATGAGCCCTTCCTCTTTAGGGTCTGGTTCTATCTGCCCCCAAACCAATCCCTGTGGACTCCCAGTTGTTCTCACAACTTGAAAGACCGACTCTGCAAAGAGACAGGGCACAGTGTCCGTAGCAATCCAGTGGCCATCTGTGCTTAGCAAGAAACACAGTAGCAGCCACACTTTGCAAGATCGCATTAGTGTGAATGGGAAATGGAGGTCGCCCAAAGGAGGAAATGGACCAGGAGGCACCCACCGGCTGAGCACTCTCCAACAGGGGTGCACCAATGTCTTGTGGTGCACCTGTGTCCAGGAACTCGGGCTGCGCAATGCCCCTGGCCTCTTCAAAAAAGCTTCCAGCCTTCTCCAGCACAAGCTGCAGCTCAACCAGCTCACTTCGCGTCCGCTGGAGGCGTTCGCTGTTAGCGTTCACCTCAAGCAGCTCACGTTCAAGCTCTTCCAGACGGGCCTGCAGAGAGGCCGGCCACGTCAAGCAATGCAGCCTTTGGACGCTGTCAGGCTGTGCTTCCCTGGTATCGCACCAACCTGGAGTCTGCTCGATGTAGCTACGTTGCTCTAATGCAGTTTTCATGTACTGAAGAGCATGGTTTGTAACAACTGTACTCGGCATGCCCATTCTCTCCCGTAACAATCAACAAAGCAAGACCAACAACAGCGGGGAGTCAGCACAGCACCTCGAGCTCATCCAACGAGATGCCCTTGTCCAACCCCCTTCCACCAGTCGGGAGGTCCTCTTTAGCCACCTGCGGAACAAATTCACAGTCACCTCCAAAGGAATGATCCCCAAACCGTTCGACGCACAATCACCAACCGGATCACAGGAACTCCGTCGTGTCCACGCACAGTTGGAGACCCAAGACAAGCACATCGAGGGAAGAGGGGCGAACGCATTCCCCGGGAGGCGGCTGAGCCCAACGCGCGTGCTGCGGGCACCAGCGCGTCGCTGACGACCTGGGCACCTGTTCTTTGAAGAACCGCAGCCTGCGCGTCATCTCGTCGCATCTCTTCACCTACGCCGGCACAGACTGGGGTCATCAAAGAAGTGATCAGCGACAGCCAGGACCAGCCAGAGGTTCAACCGGCCGCAGCCTCGGGCAGAGGACCCCACAAACAAGAGCGCGTTGCTGTCGCCGTTCCATACCTCCGTAGCGTAGGTTCTCTGAAATGCGCTGCGGTTGGGGTTCAGATCCACGAACTGCACCAGCCCAATCTCACCCAACGACACAATCGTTTCGCGGGCGGCCTCGGCAGGGACCATCAGCTGCGGCAGTCGGCAGGAACAAGCGCGTCACACAAGAGCCCAAAGGCCAGCGGCAAACACAAGCCACCGCCATCACCACCGCTGACCCGAATGCGCTGCATAGGTTCGCTGCGCCATAGGTCCATCTTGGCGGGCCGCCAGGGGGGGGGCCGCGCCTGCTCGCTACAGCGAACCACTCTTTGCGTTGTTTCGTCGCTGCTGCCTTCCGCCCCACACGGAACCATTACGCCCTGAAATGTGTCTCTTACTTGCCCAGGGGCGCACGGGTGAAGAAAAAAAAAGCCATGAACAAATGGCGGAGACGACCTCTCATTCCTAGGACCTGTTGTGGTACATGTGCTACTGCATTCCCTCGTGCCCCTTATCTGGCATGGACACGTTCCAATATGGCCGTGGGCACGCCAGCTCCTGTCCCGACCAGGGAGAGGGGCCACCACAGGCAAGCGCGTGAAAGGCGGTAAGTCGAGCCCCAACAGCTCAGCGCACCTGCTCCACAGTCCTGTGCTTCATTCCTGCTTCTGAGTACTTGTCGCACCGAGGCCCCCAAGTGCCCAACTGACGGATCCATTCGTGGCCACCCCGCAGATGCCTGTAGTGCACAGCGTCCGCTCGGGTCTGTCCATCCTTGTGCCGGCTCGCAGATCCTTCCCGTAATGGGTCCCTCCAGCGGTGACGCCGCCCGGTCTGATGATTTGCTGTCGTGGGAAGAAGACGCGTACGAGTTGGTGTGCGACGTCTGCGCGGATGGTGGCTGCGCCATTGCCCTGGTTTTGTGCGAAAACGCAATTTCGCCGGACGATCGGAGCAATGGCCGGAAGGGAGGGTGAGTGTGGGGGCTGCATTCAGCTCTTCTGGGCGACCAACAGCGGTGTCCCTTGGTCCCAATCCCTTTTGACTGGTGACGGAGGGCGCTATTTCGAATCGGGGGGGGTGCCCCCTTTGTTTGCAGTGCTTTTGGAGATGCTGCACTCAGTCCCTGGTGATGTTCGCATCCAGGTGCAACGGTGCCCGACACGTCTACTGCTTTGATGTTCCACAATACGGGGCGAAATTGAAGGACCTTGAGTACTACTGCCCTTTCTGCGCGAACAACGGGAGGGAGAAGGCGTTTGCGGCCGAGAGGTGGGCTTGGGGCTTGACGCGAAAGACTGTTATCCATACTGGTGCTCGAGGGTCAGCCACACGCTCTGACAGGGTGGCGAACGCCCATTGCTAGGTTCATTGTTGCTTGTTGCCCCGCGAAAGTTACACTGTTCTTCATTTTGCTTGTGGAGAGCTTGTTCTGCGGACGGAGAAGCACCTGGACTGTTTTGGTTTCTGCACCGTTCAGATCACCCTCAGTCGAGCTGCCTCGAAGAGATTCCAGGACGCTCAATGCAGCTAAAAGCCCTGCCGGCCGGCCCCAGAAGCGCAAGGCTATGACACAGCGAGTGGAACCATTGCCAGCACCATCTTTCAGCACGTTGGCCAGCCGAAGCTCCTGGCGAACTGAGCCATCAAAAATGAGCAGGCAGGAATCCAGCTCATGCACAATTGCAGATGCTGGTGGAAAGCAGCCCAATAGACGTGGTCCTGGGGAAGGCCAACACAAGCGCCCTTCAGCCCCTGTGACACAGAGAGATGCAGCTGTTGATGGCAAGGACACAGCAAAGAATGCTCTTCAGGACATGGGCAAGAGCACGCAGCCCAAGAAGCCCAAGGACTTTAAGATGGATGGAGGGGCTGCAGATTGGAAGGGGGCTGTGCAGAATAAGACAGGCGTGACGGGTGCGTGAACAGGTCTGAGTGCACAGCCAACGCAAGATTGTGAATTTCCTTGTGCACATCAAGCAATTTGCTGTTATTGCCATTAGCCCAATGCAAGTGGGGTATGGAGCGCTTCTTGTTTTTGTTCAATACGGCAGTGAGACCCATGTTGAGCAGGGCATGTGCACAGTGCATTCCAAGCAGTGCTACCCACCCTCGAGTAATTGCTGGTGCACCCATGATTCAAGCACTGGGTGCGCCAAGGCCAGGCTGGCTGGCACATATCAAGTGCACAAATACAGTTTCTTCCATAAGATGTAACCCAAGGATCGTTTGTTGCTGCAGTGTGCCCTGTGCAGAAAATGATGAAGAATGAGATGGCGAGTAACATCGGTCCTCTTTCCTGTTTGCAGAGCTGAATAAGTGCTCTGCCTATGATTGTGGCTTGAGAACCTGCCGTAATTTGCAGTTGGAGAGTACCGATGAACAAGCTGGTATGCTTGCTGATCATCTGTACCAATTTCGATCTGCAGTGTTTTGTTTGATATATTTTGATTAGGCTGCTTGTGTCTTTGATTGCTGCAACAACTTGATGCAACAAGCTTGTTTGATGCAAGCAGGAGCAACCTCCACATGTGTGCCCAACCTGGGAAGCCGGTCTCATTCCCTGGACTGGGGAGCATCTTGGGCTCCTGTCAAGACAACACTACCTCGTTCAAAGTCTGTCCCAGCTCCCAATCTGGGCGCAGCAGTGGCAAGGAGTGCACCGTCAGAAAGTCAGCCAAGCAAGCTCATCTCTGCAGCACAAACGCCACGCCCAGGGTCGCCCCCACCTGAAAATCGTGCTTGTCCCACAACTTCAGTCCAAGGCCGTACCTTTCAGTATCTCATGGAGCAGATACAAAATGCATGTCCTGAAGACAACCCAGGTGTGGCAATAATCTCAATCAGCCATCTGTACTTTCCACAATGGTGACCTGATGCACCTGCATTTGCACTTCACTCTCCAGACCTGGCATGTGATGCACACTGTTGATATGGATTGCCCCAAATGGTTTGTGCGATGCACTCACTTGCAATGTGCAGGGAACACAACTGTGCACTTGCGCTTTTGGGAACAACTGTGTGGACCAGCCTCTTTGTGCACTGTTCCGTTCATGCAAGTTGACTGCATATTGGCAGCAAGACCTGCTTACCCCATTGCATGGACCCCAGTATCTGGGAAATTGGGGCTCGAGGCTCTGCAAACCTGCATTGGCTTGAAAAGGACTGCACAAGTAGCTTGCTTGGGTGGATGGATGGGTGGGTGGGAAGTGTGAGTAGGAGAAAACAGGAGAGTGTGCAGCTGTGATGCTAGTATGGGGAAGTCTGACCTGGATACCCCAACTGCAATATCAGTTTGCTTTGCATTTGTGTGCTGCAGGTGTTGAAATTTTTGTTACAAGGAATATGGTTGAGTTAGCTGCATTTTTTATCAGAAAAGAGTCTCCTAAAATAGTCGCCTGCATTGGCCCTTTGTGCACATTTTAGGCCCACCTTCTCGATGAGCATGTACACAAAGGTAGAACAGAGACTTCCACAGACAAACATGCACAATTCTTTTGATTGCTGCCAGTGAGACATTGCAAGTAGCAGGCGATTTGTTGTCCTGCATCTGACATTGTAGGTAGGCATTTTAGCTGTGTTGCACAGTTGATCCTCAGCTGGATGCAGCACAAGTTTGAGCGAAAGCAGCTTGCTTGTTTAAAAGTCTGTTGAGTGTTGTGAGCATCCTGTTGAGTGTTTGGGTGCCTAGCCAACACCTCTATATGCACGTGTTGTATCGGAAGCGATGTGGTTTCTTCAAAGGATGCTGTGGTGGTGACTCAAATGTAAATCGAAACTGGTGGGGAGTTCTATCATGCAGGCGACCACCTTATCTGATGCCAATAGGGTTGTGACCCCCCCAGTCACTCGAAGTGTGGTTGCCACAAATGTGTGCTTGATTTCCATATTACAGCTCAATTCTAATGCATCACACACTTGCAACCTCCGCATGATTCTGCAGGATGCAACATACCCTGCAGAATCGCCATTGTAAGCATGTCACAAGTTCCACCACCATTCACACTGCGATCGGCAGTGAATTATGCTGTTGGCAAAGTTGCCACAAGCACATGGAAGCCATGTGCTGTTGGAATGTCACAATTCAATGCTTCTATGTGGGACAAATGCACACGGAGTTGGTTGTCTGGCATGTTGAAGATGTCAACATTTTTTATTTTGCTTTATGTGACCTAGAGAGTATTGCACCCAGTCTGGGGCTCCATGGATGCCAGCAGCCCCTGTAGTGCTAGAATGCTTGTCCATTCCCACATTGAGTTGCACGTTTGTGTGGAATATGTGGCTGTGTGTATTTGATCTGATACTTCTACCTTTTAGTTGCTATTCAGCAGATCATACCATGGATGTATGCCAATGTTGCAATCTTCTGTGGTATTCCATGGTGGTGAAAATGGAGTGATGGTAACTGTTTGTCATGGCGCACTTTATTCTTTTCTGGAAGGGTTGACAGGTCACAATGTGTGGAGCAGTGCCCCATCGCAGGGCACTCATGCTGCTGCCTGAGAAATGACAGGTCTGTGTGGTTTCAGAATATGGTAAATTCAGGGAAGAGGAGCTGGGCGATGTGATTTGGAAGGGTGACTTCACTGTGCATGGAATTGACAGAAAATTATTCACGGTAAGTGCAGTTGAGCAGTTTGTATGAGTCTTTCTGTAGAGCTGAAGGATCTGTTCTGGCTGTCGGTTCATCTTGTGTTTTTCTCAAGCCAACTCATAACATTTTTTCTGGTATCATTTTTTGTTGCACTGACATGGTGACAGTGATGTCTGCAGGAATTCCCTGCCGAGGCCTGTATAGTGCCGACACACGAAGCTTGTAGAGCAGCTGCTGATCGCCTCGGTCGCCACGTCTTGGTTAATCTGTGTGGACGTCAACAATCAACAAAGATCTTGACTGAAGAACAGTTGGAGTCTGTTGAGGGAAATGCAGCGGTGGTGTTTCGTTGCTCTGACCAAATTTCAGAGCCCATGGAACATTTATGCAGGCATGATCCCCTCTGAATTCGCATGTTTGCAAGCACATGTTTTGAAGGATGATGGAAGCTGTAGCATAACAAATGTTGAATGTGAATTGACTTGCTTTTTGAAAGCAGGCCTCTTCACTCAAATTGTCACATTTGCTATGCGCATTTTCTGACATGTGGTCAATTGTGAAATGCGCAATATTGAGTGGTGTGCCCTGTGTGAAGTTTCACTTCGTTGTCTATACTCAGGGTTGCACAGCTAAATTGTTTTTGTGCTATGGAAAGGTTTCTGTTTGGTGATCATTGTGAAGGGGGTAGCTGCCAGCAAGTGGATTGGAGCGATTGGTTGAGATTTGTATGTGCTTGCAGGATGATGACAGAGCAGCAGTTGACAGCTGTATGCGACTGTGATGACTTAAACGTCTTAGTGATGGTTGCACCCTCTGGAGGCAGTGCTTGCTTGCTTGGAGCATTTTTGTCCAAGTTGCAGCCTCCAGCTCCACGTTTGAGTTGGAGGCGAAGCTCCAAACCAAGGAGAAGTGTTCTGGCGAGCTATGACCTTGTTTTCCACTTCTCTGCAACTCAGAAAGAATTTCTGCAAGACACAGGGGCCCTCACTGGTAGCATTATGCAGCAGCAAATCAAGAATGCGCTGGTGGGTGGGGTGTCTGGAAGCGCAACAAAATACTTCCTCCGTCCCATATTAAATGTCCTCTAGGAATTTGGCGCATCATTTCTCTGTCATATATTATAGTTTTTCAATAAAATTTTGTCCAAAGCTGTATCTCCCTTTTAAGAGTATACAATCAAAATTTGAAGTCAATCTATTAAGTATTGATGATTTGGCAGTACTTTGTAGCAAGGGTCCTCTTACCAGAAACCCATCGGTTTTTCAACGATTTCGCAAAAATGGCCGTTTACACCTTTTAGAGGAGCATGCGCTCACGGCGGCAAAACAGAGCTGCCCATGCAAAACTATCAACGCCATTGAGACAGAAGATCGGCGTGGTGCTTGTGAGGAAGTGCGGCGATAGGAATCGCGTTCCGAAGGCCCTGATCGTGTAGCTCGCCAGAGCTTAGAGCCGAAATTCAGTGTTGGGCTGGTGGACCGGAGCTACCTTCCGGCCCCAAATTTTTGGGGCCAAGACTTTTCGTCCCTTGTTAGTGTTGTCAAAACAAAAGAGGGTGACTCTGAAACCCCCTGACAAGGCGACGGAGAAGGCGAAGCCCTGCACCGCATTCAGCAACGGCCGATTGTGGGAATTGTTGTCAACGCGAAATTGGCGAAATTGGGTTTGTTGTGGAATTTGAAACGGCTAGGCATGAGGCAAACGGCTAGATGGCTAACGCCATGTCTCTTTCATGAACGGAAACTAGCTAGATGGTGATGGACTGTGGACTCCGCAAAAGAGGTGGTTGTTGGTGGGATCTCATGGATCCTGGGCCAAGCTGCCCGGGAAGGCCTCGATTCAAGGATCAATTGAGGCAAGATGCCCATGCCAAGCCACACAAATACCTTGGAGTGGTACAGCGCACAGGGCGCAGGCTTGAGCGCCCTAGATCCTGGCTTATTCAGTTGGTGGCAGGTCCTTGCATCTCAGATCTGGGGTCGCAGCGAATTCTGGCATCATTGACGTTGTGACGATGGCCTTCGGCAACGACGATCCAAATACCGTCGGCCGTGTTTGACCAGCGCTGTTCCGCACAAGGGATGTCGCCCTTCACCGCAGCAGTGGCGAAGCCATCCCCTTGGTTGCCCAGGACGGGAGTGACCCAGAACCGTGCAGATATCCAGTGGAATTGGAATCGGTGCGCCCAATTTTTTTCTGAATCCAAGGGCAATTTCGAGGGTGCCCTTCAAGGAGTGGGACTGACTTTTTTCCCTCAAAAATTGGTAGTTAGAGGGCTTGGGTCCTGTTGCGCAGCAGCGCGCAACAGGGGGTGAGAGAAGCCTGCCAGTGCGGGCGCTCGAAGGCCATTAAGCCGGGACCCAACACCGGACCCCAAGTACTACGTACTTGGGGCCACACCCGAGCGCCGGTATCTGGGGGTACCCCAGGTACCAGTGGCCACCGCCCTAGTACCGGTGTAGCAACTCTAACCCCTACACTATCGTAACCGCAACCCTATTGGGCTGGTTATCGTAGGGGGTTGTCGATACCCCCCGGGTACCGCTAGTACGGTACAGGTCCCAATCTTTCTGATTCTGACCTTGTTTTGTACTTTTGAAGCTTTCCTTGTAATGAATTTTGTACTTCAAATAGATGACATTTAATATGGGACGGAGGAAGTAAGAGACTGCATTCATTGAAATGCCTTTGTTATCAAGCTTGTGTTCGGTGGTGAATGTGTGTGCATCTTCAACAAGTGTCTCCATTGTGCAGGCAGCCAGAGCAGGTGCAGAGGGCAAGACATGTGTTGATGCTATCTTTGCTGCCACTGCCAATTTCAACTTGCTTTCATACTTGTAGTGGAGACTGCAACGTTCTGGTCCTGTGTTGTTGTTTTTGCAAATGGCTTCATGTAATGCCAGGCTCCTTACCAGAGCTGCCTTCTCAAGTGGGAGAATTGGTTGGTTTATGGCTGTTGCCCTGCATGTAACAATTTCACAAGGGGTATGAGATATCAGGCCATGGACATCGTTGGTGATGTCGTAGCACAGGGAGGAGACAGAATGCTACTTGTTGTTGAACTCCCTGTAGTTTGATCAGCCATGCTTTCCTTACGACTTGGCGTTGCTCTGTTCTTGTATTGATGGATGTTCTGTTCGATGTTGTACCGCTGTGATGAATGCCATTGCACAATGAACAGTGACAAAATTATTCCCTAGTCATGTAGCCACCCCTTGGGATGATAGGGGCATGCTTTTGTGCGCTATCGCATGTTCCTTTGCTTTTCTCTTGCTTTTAGTGGTTTCTATGGCATTGCGGAGTTGAGTACGCCTGTTCTATCATTGTTGGGGGTCTTAGCTGTAGCAACATTGCTTCAATTAGAAAATGCGTCAAGACGAACACAAGAGGATGCTTCAGTGTGTCGTTTAGCGTCCGATGAACAAATCGGCCTGATTTGTGTTGCTGCACCTCAGCAGCAATTGCACTGGCATTGACACCCCACAGTAGATTTGCCAATAGACACGTGATTCCCAGTCTGAATTTGGTTTGGAATGTGTAGATGCAAAAGTCTGCAGGAAGTGGGTCATGAACTGGTCAGATACAGTGGGTAGATTCTGAATTCTGTGATTTGAGTTATGATATGTTTCCACAAATCGAGTCCTATGTGGCCTTGCCTAATCAATCCTGAAGACCAGCTGTCCCGTTCACTGTTTGGTTTCCTTCTTCTTTCAGGGTGCTGTGGCTAGACAACACCTTGTCAACTCTTCGAAATATGGCTTGGCAGTCTGGGGCGGTACAAAGGCAAGTGCATGCTACTGCTATTGGTACATGATTGCTGCAGGTGAATTCACCTGCGGTTCAACAGCATACCTTGCAGACTATGACATCCTCTGGGCAAAATTGTGTTGCAGTGCAAGTCCTGATGACACACAGCATTTCATTGGCACATTTCTTCAGCACACTTGGCAGGCCAAGTCACAAAGCCCCAGCCAATAATGCGGCCAGGGTAGCCTAGTTGGAGCCCATTCATGGTTGTTGTAATTGCCCTTTGGCAAGGCACCGTGACCGTTATGGGTTGGCCTTGGCTGCTTGGGCAATCAGAACAGGATGGCCAATTTGTGTCCCATTCAGTATGCTCATATCTTGGCATACAGGAGTTCAAGGACCATTGGGAAGTTAGTCATGCTCTGCAGCAACTGGAGCGTTTCACATCAGATTCCTGCACTATTTGAACCATGTTGTTTGTGCACCAAGTGGGAAGAGCAACCTGTGGCGATGTTAACGTAGGACTTTATATTGCATTCAGAGATGGGAAGATGTCTTGCGTGTGTTGGAAGAGTGTGACGTCACTTGTACACCTTCTTCCAAAGACGTGGTTGAGGTGACTGTGAGAGCTCAGCTAAGAAGAAAGGACACATTGGAGCAAGTGAGCAGAGCTCTCAAGCATCTCATGCAATTGGATGCAACTGTGACTAATTTCCTCTCGTCTGGTAAGCCAGAACCTGACAGTTGCAGGGAAATGGCAGTGCAGTTGTTGTCCTGTGTACCAGGGGCGGTTGCACGATTGTTTTTGCTTTTGAGCAGCCCTTATGATGTTTTACAATGTAACTGTTGAATTGCCTTATCAGTCTGGTGGTGGTTGTGCACCATTGGTCTGACCAGATTCAACTTCAGCCCATGTTGATGTGTGCTCTTGTAGGTCTTGACCTGAGAGGACAGAGGACATTGCCACATCACTCTGTCAACTTCCACAACTCTCCCAGAAAGGTGCAAATCTCAAAGAATGTGACTCTGGGACCAACTGCTGCCTATTCATCAGAGCCCACAGACCTGGATGGCAAGGTCTTTCGCCATCCACTTGCGCGCATTGGCGATGAACAGACCGTGACCCGACCACACCTCACTCCACTGGATTATACACGCTCGTCGACTCCTGCTCACGTGCACAGTGGTGGTGCACGAATGGGCTGGCATGACCAGCTGCGCTTTGGGAAGGGCATTGGCACTTCCAAGCCTGAGTCAGATCCTTCGATTGAGCAACCAGCAGCATCAGTCCGATGGGCCCCTGCGGTGCCACCACTGGACCCACGACAAAGCACTGGAGGTCTGGGTGTCCAGGAAGACCATCTTTCATTTGGGCGGCCCTCCATGCCTTCAGCTGATTTGCAGGAGTGTCCGCCTTCATTCGAAGCTGAACCTGTGCAGTTTCCATCATCTCCATTTGTCAATCTATCTGGCCCTCATACCCTGCAACCACCAGTTCCACCATCAACACACATTTTTTCCTATGGGCCCTGGACAGAAGGGACACCAGCTTGGCAGCCTCCCCTGCCACTAACACCTCCGCCTCTGCCACCCTCGCCTCCTCCACCGCCACCACCACCTCCCCCCCCTCTGCAACAGAGAGAGTATGATGAACACTCAAACGAGGTGCCAAGGCTTGAATTCCCCAGGACGATGAGCGAGATTAAGTTTGGTTTAGTTGGAGGACCAGAGGACAGGGACCCTGAGAAGGTAATCACATGGCGGTGTGCTTTTTTTTTGGTTTTTCCATTGATCGTAGATCTCCAGCTTGATTTGTCAGCTTTTGCCATTGCCCTTCCATAACCGACTTGCTGTACATCTCATGATTGAATACATGTTGGTGTAGGCACAGTTCAGCGAGCTGGCCAGGGCGCTCAGTGCAGAGGGAGCTGTGTACATTTTGTACCCCGCACCAAACACTGTGAATGTGCTGGCCTTCACATCTGCAGTGTGCTCCGGTGGCTTGGAAGGGCTCCCAGACTTTGTCCTCAACAAGTATGTAGACAGACCAATCACTTTTCTTCGCGGCCTGGAGTATCTTCAAGAGTGCATCAGCCAGAGGGAGAAAGGAGAGCAGCGTGCACTGCCTGCCTTGAATCCATTCTCTTCCCTGTACCCTTCAGGTGAGCTGCAAAGGTTCCTGTGCCTGATTCAACAGCCTAGCCTTTTCAGAGATGGGCGAGTTGCAGCAGCATTTCATGTTGTTGCCAGCAGGTTGTTTGCAGCATTTGTGCGGGCTTGTAGACAATTGGGCAGCGTCCAGTGTCCAGGTGCACTTGGTCTTTTGCGGGGGCGTGCATGCCCATAAAAATGCTTAAAATGTCTCCTTGCAACAGCCGCTACCACACACTGGTTGTCAAGATAGCGATAGATATGTGGTGGACATTTGACAGGGGTTGCCCCAAAATACCAGTTGCTAATTGACTTGATAGTGGGCAGAGAAAGAGTTCACTGCAGGACTGACAGGAGATGTACTGCATGTGTTACATGAGGTTCTTACAGTGCATTGTTGTATGCAGGAGTTATCGTTGTCAGTGATTTGGAAGCACTGACCACTGTGGCAGACCCTTGCTCCACGTTGGAAGAACTTCTTGGCTTGCTCGCTGATGGAAAGCGCATTGATGCAGCGCATGAGTGGGTGCTGAAGATCAATTCACAGACTTGGAAACAGATGGAGGCAGTCAGACAACATGATGCTGTTGTGCAAGGCCTATGGAATGTGCTGCATAAGGATGTCTTTCAAAACAAAATTTTCCAGGTGATGGCAAAATCGGAAGAGTCATCCAGACCGGTGGCAGACCCACCCAAAGCTGTTCGAGATGCAGTCAAAGTTGCTTTTCAGCATCGTCATGATGTCAGGTATGTGCAAGCCATCAAGTTATGTCATATGCATGGGGCCTAGGGCTTCAACCACACCCATGACATTTTGGCATTTCAAGCATTGTTGTTCTTGTGTAGACTGATGCCAGCAGCATTGATGCAGAAACTTGCCGCTCAGAGCCCCTTTTGGACACCTTTACATTGTGCTCTGGGTTCGTACAGGCTGGGCGCCTGCCTTGGAGTGACAGCCAATGTGAGAACGAGTGTGAGGGATGTGGATTTGCTTTGCCAGTGGTGGCAACTGTTTTTATGAGATAAGCAGATCGTCTTAGGGAATGCATACAAGGCCCTTGCCTTCTGAAATCAGCGTTGTGGGACTTCTTTGACGAAACATGAGAAGGAAGGTCCTGAAGATGGCAGTGACCCTTGGTGATCAACGCCTTGTAGCCAGCTCGAGCCCACACCTGGATGGCAGCAAACACAGTTTCACACTGCCGAGCACAATTCCTGAGATATTTACCTTACCACAGAAGCAAGAGGCCCTTTTTGTCCCCTCCTAAAGGGCCTTGCTCCCTCTCCTAGTGGTATGAGTCCGTTTTCAAAGCTCTCCCCCTGATCGCACAATGGAGTGCAACTGGTGCATAATTGGAATACACTTTCATCGCAGTGGCCCACATTTTTGCTATATAAGCCACATACACGAGCTGCATGGGATACTCTTGTACTCGGAGCATTGCCAAGGCATATAAGACAGAACTGGGAAACCTGGCTGCACAGACGTGTGTGGTGACCCCTTAGCCGGCTTCTGGGTATACGTTGCTGTAGCAAGACCCCTGTTGTTGTGTTTAGTTCTTCTTTCCAATGTCTCAAGTTCCCAGCAGCCATGTCTTATAGGCGGAGAATCTCTAAAAGTTCTTGTATGTTGCCGGATGTTTCAAAGATAAAAAATGCTGCAAACCTACCTGTGCATATTTGTTTGTTTGTTCTCTTTCATGCGCATGAGGATTCTCTACTGTCAATTTCGCTACTCGTCAAAACACAGCCTCATGGTGTTGTGCCTCTTGCATGTTCGAAGGTGGGTATTCTTCATGCATCCAGACCCAGCAACTTTCAAGTCTGAAGAGGATCGTCGCCAATGCCAGAAGTATGTGCAAAGTGCTCAGAGCCAAACAACGCTCGTTGCAGAGACGATGGTGAGGGTGGTGGATAGAATCCGCCACATATTGAGCCAGTATTATCAGCGATAGAATGTAAACATGTAAAAGACAAGAGAACGAATGGGATGGAGACACATCACCCAAAAGACTGCGCGTGAATCAAGGTGTGCATGGCTGTGTAGCTAGTTTGGTAAATGAACGCAAGCGTGGTGTTTTGTGCCACGTTCTATCTTAAAGAATATGTTATTTGCTCTTTAGTTCTGGCATGCGCATGTTACGATGGAACAATTCCAGTCAGACAACGGCTGGCCCATCAAGGCTGCACCTTTCACTAGGGTCACTGAACTGAGGGATGGCCCACGTGGGCCCACACGGACATCCATGGGCAGTCCTACGATTGTGTTACCCCAGTGCTCGATGTTTTGGTCACCTATTTCGTTGTTTGCATGGATGCCCACTGGCCCTCGCAAAGAGCAAAGCATACTGCACTATCAACCCATTCCCAAGGATACAGGTCTACAAAAGTCTCTCATCATTAGCAATTGCAGAATAGCAAAGACAGCAAATGTGAGCATGTGATTTGGTTGTTTCCCCCACCCACCCACCCACCCCCGGTACCCCTGGTTATGTCCAACCACACACAATCGATACGAAAGGGGACACCATTCGATTCACCGCAAAATGGATCGTAATCTGCAGCCTGTTGAAGTTGGTCATTTCCGGCCGTTTAATGACATGGCAAATGACATTAAAAACTTCATTGACTTCATTATCAAGTCCGTGACCGTGGGCTACAATGGCCATCTTGATGACTCAAGATTATTCCCGGCAATAGAAATGAGGTAAAATGAGACAACATCGACAACTAGATGTATTTATAGCTATCTATCCATATACACAGCCCAAGTCTATGACGCAACCAGCAATCGTTGGTCGACAAAGGATCACGATCAATGAGGAAGATCAGAATGTAACAACGATTCAGATACATTTAAGATCCAAGCCATCAAGGGAAGCAACTCCAAGTTCACCCCAGGTAACCCCTGGTCATCCGTTCTACGATTGATACATCATCAAAAGCCATTGTCACGTTTAATGACCGTTCAGCATCAGAGGTTGCATCGAACCTACCACCATTTGCCTTATCCACCATCTTGTGTGAGCCAGTCTGACATCCGTGCACTAACCAAGAAGCAAAAGGGCAAAAACGCCAGGCAACAATCCTCTGCCACCCCCAATTGCCTTGCTGCCTTCGTCCTATTGCCCGCAATCGTTCTGCAGTTTCTGGGAGGCCATGGCCTCCGCCTGATACCGCCAAGTTGAGAGTTGGCAGTTCCTTGTCGCACAATGGCTGGCGATGGGGAATCTCTGGCTGTCGCAATGGTATATGGACAAGGCAGATTGCCCAGAAGGCTACTTATGCTTTGGCATGACAGTGGTCCTTCCATTCAACAATGAGGATGCTGCTTGGTTGCACATCCAGTACGTGAATGGTGAGGACGCCCTGTGGTACCGCCTTCAGGAGGAGGCCCGAGAGGCCTACCATCGTATGACATGCACCCAACTCACCTCTGGGAAGCGACCAGCACCCTAGGAGTAGCCTGAATAGAACCACCCGTATGACGCTCAGGCACTATACCGGCCATGGGCCCTGTTGGTGCAACCGCATCCCTACCGGCCATACAATGGGATGGACACCTAGGCGTCTCGCAGTGGCTCGCAGTGATGATCGAGTATGAGGGGGGGGGGCACATGCATGCGTGGCAGGGCGTGGAGCTCAACTTCTACTATCCGCAAATCCACCTCAGCGTGGACGTCAGTGTGCCATTTTCGTACCCTTGCTACTAGCGCATGGTGGAGGGGGGGGTGACGCGAAGGGAGTACATTGCCAATCACCCCTCGAGTGCATCAGAGATCTTCGTGCGAGAGCAGCATGAGTTTGGATTACAGACCAATCCAAATGCCGTGGTACTGCGATCGGCTGCGGCCAACGAAGCCAGTGCGACTGTGGCCCAATGGCTGAACGCCAGGAAGCCACCATACACTGAGGTCGAATTACGCGTTGAGGAATGTGCATGGCAGAGGGCCCTCAGGCAGCAAAGGCATGAGGCGCGGGCGTGCAGTACTGGCCAAGATGACATAATGGTTGAAGCACTCAATGATGTACTGCCGGAGCCCCAGGCAATTGTGGATGAAAATGCGGCGTTTGCCCTGGATCTACCACCCGGTTTCAGTGGGTCCAATGATGGGAGTCCGGCAGCATAGCCGTTCACTCCTGGGTTTGGCAGATGAGGAGCTACAAATGATGACAAGATATGCACCAGGCTGGTGGATGACGAGATGGGAAAGAGACTTGTCGGAGCCAATTAGCGCGTCAAGGATGGCCCTAGGAAGTCGCTAGCGGAGGAGAAACGCTGAGGGAGTCTCGCCAATGGATAATGTGATAGGATTCTTTCAATGGATAGGGAATTCTGTTTGGGTATGTTTTAGTCCAACTGTGCGAAAGGGACATTCTAGAATAACGATGGAGTGTGAGAACAAGTGTTATGGTCTGGGCCGTGAGGCCTAGTGGGAGCAGCCAACTTTGGTAAATAGGGTATAGATACCCATGGGAGAACTCCAATACAAGGGTGTTGATGAGGCGTTGTGGCAAACACCGAAACCGGTCCACCTTGCTATGAGTTGTAACCCTACGGAAGGCAGATTATTCCACCAGGGGGTTTTCTATGGAAAACCTAAAGTACTGGTGTCCCGACTCACTAAGGACATATTATGCATACTGGCCTGATGTTGGAGACGCCCTACTACTGGCTCCTTGGTGTGGGGGACGCTCTGCCCAAGATATGGTAACGATACCCCAACCAGCTTATATGATAGTATGTGATACGGGAGTAGGTCCGGGTGGTCCCGCCTAGGTCCCCGTAAGGACCTAGGTGCCCGGCGAGGTGGGTCCACGGCTCAAAGAGGGCAGGAGCCCCACACCAACAACCTTTTCGTATCATTTGGTTTTGGAGCCACCTGTGGGTGGCTACCACGTCTTCGCCTGGGCGCGAGATCGAGCACAAGGAACCGGGCTTCTTCCCCGGCCTCCTCCATGGAGGCTAAGGAAACGGACCCCACAGCCCGACAGGGCACACCCGAATCCTCGGGTGAAGAAACACCCCGACAGGGGACACCGGCAAGTTCGGCCGGTGAGGATGTCACAGCCCGACAGGGCCAGGAGATGGAGGAAGTCCGAAAGGACACGGCCGGCACATCGTCGGGTCGAGCTGAGCCGGAGGAGCACGACCAACCGATGGCCGAGGTAGAGGAGGCTCCAGGAGAGGAAGCAGCGGAGCCGGGCACGATGGTCACCCTGCTGCAGGCGCCCGGCATCATAGAGCCCCTTGAGAAAATGGCGGAGGCGGCGGCTATGCAGGCCCGAGAGACGCGGGATAGAGAAACCGCTGAAAAGATCGCCTTGCTGAAAATTGCGGCAGCTGCGGCACAAAAGGAGGCCAGGTGGCACGAGGTCGTGTTGAGGAAGGCCAAGAAACAGAGCCTCCAGGCCAACGAATCCAAGGCATCCGCTGAGCAGCAAGTGGCCGCATTGAGCAACCGCCTGTTGAAGCAGAAAATGCGGGCACCCGAGGCGGAAGAGAAAGTCTCGTTGCAGGCGAAACAGCCCGAAAGGGCTCCCAGTCCGACGGCAGCCCCCATGCCGATGATTCCTGAAGCAAAGGGCGATTGGCAAACCGTCGGCAAACCCCGGGCAAAACGGAAGAGCCCGTCGCCAGGTGAGACGGTGACGAGAGATCGGACAGTCCTCAAAATAGGCCGAAAGGCCCGGACCACTGAGCCAGTGGGAGAGATCGCAGGCTGAAAGGCCAGGACCCCTGAGCAGTAGAGGTGGCCACTCAAAGGTGCCATCCGGTCCGTTAAATCCGGTTCGTTAATTTTTATCAGCTGTCCGTTAAATTTCGTTAAAGAAAAAGGGAGAAAAATTCAGAGAAAACGAAAAAAATCCAAAAAAATCAAAAAAAACCTAAAAAGTTCACAACAACTGCGGCTAGTTGAAAATCTAGTATGCATAGGTTGAAATAAAATACAAACATACTCTCTAATAGCGAATTCCATAAACTATAAGTATGAAAAAAACCCAAAAATCCCCAAAAAATCCAAAAATCCGCTAATTTTTGGTTAATTTTTGTCTTTTTTTGTTATTTTCCGTTAATTAACGGAATAATTAGCGGAATTAACCTCTGTCCGCTATTAACGGATCCGGGTGGCCACCTCTAGTTTGCTATTGGCACCTCCGGATCCCCTCCTCCGCCTCGGGGGGTCCCCTCGTTGCCGACCTTCTCTGGTGATCCGAAGGGCGATCGGTGGGACCAATTCCTGGTCCACTTCGACGCCCATTGCCGCCTCTGCCATCGCGACCATGACGACGCCTACCGCATCAACCTCCTCCCGGACCTCCTCAAGGGGGCTGCGGCGGCTCACTGGCACCTTCATCTGCAGGCGAATCCCACCCCACTATCTGGGAGGAGGCCCAAGCTGTGATGCGGTGTGGCCCCTTCGTGCGCCCACCCACCTTGCTGGGTCTAACCCTCCAGATCCAGGAGTTGGCCGCCCGGCCCCCGGCCACTGTCTTTGAATTTCTCACGCGCATGGATACGCTTTTTGGTGAGCGGGGCGCCGCGGGGGCTGCTGTCCCAGAGATCGATCGGATCTTCTGGGTATACAACGGCCTCCCTGAGCCCCTCCGCGCACGTTTGTTGGCCGACCCGGCGGGTCAGGCTTGGGGGCCGCACTCGCACCAGCAGTTCCGGCAGCTATTGTGGTCGTTCATTCATCACGATCCTGCCCTGGGCCGCATTCCCAATTGTGCTGGTTCCTCTCGCTCCTTGGCCGTGCGTGATCGTCCAGGTGATCGATTCCTCACGGGGCGTAAGCACTCCTTTGATGGGGCAGATCCTTCCCGCCCTCCGGTTCGCAGCCGCCGGGGATCCGACCTTCCGCCTGACGATCCGGCTGAGGGGGTGCCTCTGGCTGGTCGCCTCCCCCACGCCCTCTGGATGGCCACCCACGCCCGTGGACCACATGGCGCC